GCCACCTAGCATTGTGTCTGGGATCTAGTAGGCTCTCAGTAAATGATTATTGAAGCATTATTTCAACAAGCCTGCACTTTAAACTAGAGAAACCACTGCTCAGAGAGCTTAGGGGATTTTTCCAGGATAGAAACTAAAAAAAATGAGAGGAATGAAATGCTGAAGACTATTCCCCACTATCTTCAAAGGGACCAGATAATTTTGGGAGATAAAAAAGTTAAATCTCTTGAGGTAAGTTTTACTTTTTACTTTGTTTGTTTTGACTTCCTTTGAACCTCTGAGCCTTTCAAGGATCTGAGGAAAGCTACAGATTTTCTTTTTTCCCAGAAAAAAAAATGTGCATACACACCAAATCAAAATTTGTAACATAAGAGTGTGTCAATCAGGATAGGGTACCTGTTGCTGCAGTAACATATAAATCCCAAAATCTCAACGATTTAGCACAACCAAAGTTTAATTCTTACTCATATATCATTCTCTGAGGGTCAGCAGAGGCTCTCCTCCATCCAGGGAGTTGGGGATATAGGCTCCCTCCACTATAAGACACTGTCTATCCAATACACCCTTGCTAATTACCAGGAGAGGAGAAGAAGAAATGAAGAAGGCACACTGGCTTTGAACTGCTTCAGCATGAAATCCTATCTCTGGCACATATCTCTGGTAAATTGTAAAATTCATTCCAACCTTGTATGCACACCCCTTTGCAAAATGACTGCTTTTCCTCTTGTCAACAGGTATGATCTGTGTTCCCATCTGTTGAATGTGGGCTCAGCCATTACTTTGGTCAAGGAGATATCAAGAAACTTGATGCAAGTAGAGGCTTGAAAAGCGTCTGTTAATTGGGACTTTTCCTTTTTCTTTTGGACTCATGAGATCACCATGAAAAAGTCTGAGTTAGTCTGTTCGAAGATATGTGGCCCAATTATCTCATCGCATCAGCCAACAGCCAGTACCTTCAGACAGACAAAATGTATCCTCAGGCAGGTAAGGCCATCCTGTATCAACCACCTCCCTGCTGACCCACCAGCTGGCTTAGGTTGCACAAGTGAACCCAGGCAAAACCAGCACAACCGCCCAGCTTAGTCTAGACCTAATTGATGATCCAATGAATTGTGAGATAAAAAATGGCTATTGCTTTAAGCTATTAAATTTGAGGATTATTTGTTATGCAGCAAAAGCTAACTGATACAAAAATAGGGATGGGGAATGGAGTGTTGCCATAACAAAGACCTAAAATGTGTGGAATTGTGTGATTATGGAAGTGGGTGGGGACTAGAAAGTTAGTTATCAAAGGCTAGAGAAACAATGAACTGTTAGGCAACCCATTGACCTAGAGCTACTAATTCCAACATATGATTTAAAGACCTAGAGATACATAATCATTTCAAATCTCTCTTATAGTCAGAGAAGAGAACTACGGACTTTAGTGAGAGCAGCTAGACCAGAGGAGTGGTGAGGCTGTGCTAGGCCTAAATCAGTCCTGGAACTTCCTAAGAGGAGGAAATGTCTTGGAATTACAAAAAAAAAAGGGGGGGGGGAATTAAACAAACAAACAAACAAAAAAACCTTGTACTTTATCATAGATTTGTGGAACCCCATCTCAGAAGCATGGAAGATGATACTTAGTTTGTTATTGTACGGATTAAACAAGTGGATGTATGGGAAAAACTGTTAAACTGCTAAGAACTATCCTTGAAAAATACATGTATTAACACTGCATCCTAAGGCTGCCATCCTCCTGGCATGACTTTTAGGTAAGTGACATGTGACACCAGCAGGGGGCGCTATGTAGTTGGCCTGCCAGGAGTCCTTCTGGAGCCTTGGAAACAAAGAACCCCAGGAGAGTCGTCAATCAGGGAGGCTCTCTTGAAAAAGTGACATTAGTATAAAAGCTAAATAATGAGTCATATTTAGCTTAGTGGCACATATTTTGGGCAAGAGAAACAGCATGCACAAAATATCTGGAGGTGAGAGAGCAGTTTCCTGCCCTGGCCAGGTGGCTCACTTGTTTAGATCATCATCCCATACACCAAAAGTTTGGGGCTTAGATCCCCACTTGGGGCACACACCTAAGCTGTGGTTTGATCCCCTGGCAGGATGCATATGAGAGGCAACTGATTGATGTTTCTCTCTCCCATCAATGTTTCTTTCTCTCCCCCTGCTCCTCTCTCTAAAAAAAATCAATAAACATATCCTCAGGTGAGGGTTTTTTTAAAAAAAATTAAAATTTGCAAGTTCCTCCATGAGTCTATCAGGTTGAAGAAGTGGAAAAGGAGCCCTATCATGGGAGGACGTGGCTTCTCTTAAATGCAGACAGACATGAGATGGGGCATGAATCTATCTGGAAATGCAATTTTCTGCTTGTTTACAAATGATTAACTACCGCAATCAATTGTGTCAAAGTTCAAGTCACTGCATCCTTTGGGACAACAGTGAGATGGTGCCTTGTGCTGGGGCTAATGATAAACTGCATGCACGCAGGATGGGCTGACAGCAGACCTTGTGTGCTGGGTTCTGGCACAATTGATGTGAAGGGACTCCTGCCCTCTGCAAATGTCCATCCATCCCCTCCCCAGCTGCAGCCCAGGACTCTGGCAGACATGGCTGGATGGGGGAGCAGGCTTCACTCAAGGCTATACCAACCTGGGTCAGGAAATAAGGGCTTAAATTATTTTATATAGGCAAACCTCAGAACAGCCTTATGAAGCAGGTATGAATGAGTTCTTATCCCTGTTTTACAGATGAGAAAACTGAGTCTTAGAGAAATTAGCCTGCGTAAGGAAATCAAATCCAGTGTGTGGTGTTCTTCCAGCCCACCCACAAGTTGCCCGCCGCCCTCCCCTCAGAGGCTCCTCACCGATGGCTGCCTACCAAGTTCATACTGCCCTTCTATGCGTCGCAGATCACTTTCATAAATGCCAGGTGAGTCCAGTATGGACTTTAATTTGCTGATTCAGAGGTTTTCAGGGAGATTTGTTTCAGAGCCTTGGCTACATGCGTACTGCCTTTGAGTTTGCACCCTACTTCTTTCACACCAGACCCCTGCGTGCCTCTCGCAGGCAAGGTGGGTACTGTCGCCAGGGCGGGAATCAGGGCTGACATTCCATGCCCACCCTGGGATTGAAAATGGAAGGCACCCATCCCACATCTGGTTACAAGCAATCTGGGAACTACTCAAAGAGGCGTCGAGGAGAACTTTTACTTGGATTATGCCATTTCAAGAGAGCCTTAACATGACATTTTCTGTAAAGCCAATTTAACAGTGAGGACACACAGAATTAGTGAACTATTCAGAATAATGAAAAGATGAAAAAGCACATTTCTAGGCTCGAATAAAACAAGTCTGACTCACCATACTTGAATGGCACCTGTCTTTGCTATGTTCGACCCAGAGGAAAGACAACAAGTCTCCTCTGACCTTTAATGTGGCCCTTAGGGTGACTGACAAATATTGGAGACAAATATTAAATTCATCCAGTGCCAGTCGTTTACCAGACTTTACTTCCCAGCAAGGTCAGGGAAGTGATCTATTTCTCCCTAAATACAATAAAGTGCTACCTAAGTTATAAAATAACAACAACACATATTTGGGTAATTATTATCTTATACTTATTATTTTTATAATGCCTATTTGTGGACCATCCCCACATTTAGTATCTTACCTGACTCTCCCAACTCTGAGTGATTGGTAGGTATAGTCCTCTCAATTTTACATATGAGGGAACAGAACCAGAGACAGTTCCTTACAGAGAGAGCCCAGAGTATGTGCCAGGGACTGTTCAAAGTGTTTTAAATAGTTAGATTCATCTAACCTTCACAATAACCCCATGAGGTGGGTACTGTGGTTATCCCTCCTTTATAGATGATGAAGCTCAGGCCCAGAGAGGTTAATAATACGCCTTGGGTCACATGGCTGGTGAAACCCACAGAGAATTTGAACCCAAGTAGATGGACTATAGAGGTTCTTGGTCCCTTGACAACTTGCTCAAAATCACATAATTAGAAAAAGGCAAAAGCAGAATTCAAAACTTGGCTAGACTCCAAACCCTACATTCTACCTGGTAATAACAGGTGGCTACGTGCTCATCACAGGCCTGTTCTGAGTGCCTTAGGTATGCTAACTTACTTAATCCTCATCATTTTTCTCAAGTGAGGAAATCGAGGCATAGAGCAAAAGTAACTTGCTCAAGGTCACAAAGCTAGTAAGTAGTAAAGAAAGGGCTTGATGGATAAAAAGCTGTGGTGCATAGTCACAGTGGAATATTACTTGGCCATAAAAAGGAATAAAATCTTGCCATTTGTGGCAATATAGATGGAACTAGAGGGTATTGTGCTAAGTGAAATGAGTTAGAGAAGGACAAAGACCATATGATTTCACTTACATGTGGAATCTAGAGAACAATATAAATGAACAAACAAAACAAAAACAGACTCATAGACACAGAGAACAGACTGATAGTTGATCGGGGGAGGAGGTTTTGGGGATTGACTGAAAAAGATGAAGGGATTGAGAAGTACAAATTGGAAGTTACAAAAGTCATGGGGATGTAAAGTACAGCATAGGAAATATAGTCAATAATATTGTAATGGCCATGTATGGTGCCAGGTGGGTACTGGAAATATTGGGAGGAACACTTTGCAAAGTATATGATTGTCTAACCACTATGTTGTGCACCTGAAACCAACACAAAATCATATTGAATGCCAACTGTAATTAGAAAAATAATTTTTGAAAGAAATGATTTAAACCCAGGTAGCCTGGACTTAGAACTCACAGTCCTTGCTCCAATAACTGACTGTCCTCTCAGCTGCTTCCCATAGGTGTGTTATATATGAATAAAAACCAAGCTGCTGCAGAGTTGTTGTTGTTGTCATTGTTGTTTTTTGTCATTGTCATTGCTTTCCAGAGTTACAGGCAAATTTACTGTCTGTGCAAAGTCTAAGAGGTTTCTTGTCACTGGTCTGTTTGCATTGCTAAACTGTTTGCTCTTTGGGGACAGAAGCTGGTGGCCACGCTGCCTGTGCAGGCCATTCATGGGTCCTGGAGCTTCGGCTGGATGTCCCAGCACAGAGAGAAAATGAAGACATCCAGGACGTGGGCCTGGAGGGCGCCAGCTGGGCTCTTCCTTCTCTGGGCTGCCCTGGGGTGTCTCGGTTTGCCTGGCTGCAGGTAAGCAACAGTTGCAACCAATTCCCTGATCATTAATATTACAGGGACTATAAAGCCACCTAATGCTGACCGTCTCTTTGTCGCATGCCTATTGAATGAGGAACAGCTCTTGAAGCAATTTGCATGCATCCGATGAAATAATATCAACAACTCACTTCAGATTATTGTGGAACCAAGCGGCTGGCTTCAACAAAAGTTTCCATAAGAAACTGACATGTTTAAGTGTATTTTGTCTTGCTAAGAATAATAGGATACTTGTTCTGTATTCTGAACAAAACCTTGGTGAGGTTTGTTACGCAAAAGAAGGTTTGTTATGTATGGAAAAAAAAAAGAGTCAATTCTATCAGTGATTTTACCATATGAGAGTGACCTACTTTGCTCATCAACTCAAATTTTGGGGGTCCCCCCACACACTCCAGTTGTTCTCAGAGTTAAATGCTATATGATATATTTCTTTACTTTTGTATCTATCAGTAAGGTGCAAAACAGACTAAAGACAGCATCTGAGTCAAAGCTCAAACTCAAACTAAGTGAAAGCCCAAACTTGGGCTCCAGTGAATAAAGGGGCAGAGACTTGGTAATTCAGGGGTCTTCCTGGTGCACAAGAAGCCCCTACCATGAGATGTTGGAGCCCCTTGGTGAGCAATGCTATGAGAAGAAGGACTGTTAATGCAATAATTCATTCCATAAATGCTCCCTGAGCACAACCTCTCACTTAATATGAGGAGCACCTAGTACCTGGACTCACCTCGAGACCAGCACGATGAGTATGTTCTACCCTTTGGGATCTTAGTAAACAATAGCCATTATGGTTATAAAGAATCTCAACTTGGACGTAAGAAGAATCAAGCTGCCAAGGCCTTGCTTGTTTGTACTATGTGTATGCAGAGAAGTGTTTAGGATCCAAGGAAATGGGTCTGGAATGGAGGATTTGAAGGGATCATAGCAATCTTACCCATAGCACTGACCCACCCCCATGCATGGCCCCTTGTTAGGCTCTGAGGACACAGAGATGAGTAGGGTACAAAGAAGTCACATTCTCATGGAGAAAGCTAGCACATGAGCACACATTCTGTGTGCTCTTGCCAAGAGATGTTACAGAGGCAGGTGGGAAACAAGAGAGGGTGTGATCAGCTCTACTTGGCATGGTGTCTGGAAAGGCTTCCAGAAGGGGTGATGCTAGAGCTGAGTCTTTATCTATGGACAGGTGTTTGTTGAATGGCCAAGGGGGTTAAGGCTGTTCCAGGCAGAGGAAGCAGTACAAAGCCATGGAAATGAGGGAGAATCTGGCTTGTTCCTGAGGCTGCAAGTCTCCTTCAGTAGCCTTGAGCACAGAGCAAGGTGGGCAGCTACCAGAAACGAGATGAAGGAAGGGTCAGATTTTGGTCAGAGTTGAGCGGGCACTATAGTGCCAGTTAAGAAGCTTGCACCTGCCCTGGCCAGTGTGGCTCAGTTGGTTGGAGTGTCATCCCATGAACTGAAAAGGTAGCAGGTTTGATTCCCAGTCATGGCAAATGCCCAGGTTGTGGTTTTGATCTCTGGTTGGGGTACGTGCAAGAAGGCAACCAAGCAATGTTTCTTTCTCACATTGATGTCTGTCTGTCTGTCTGTCTCTCTCAGCAATTTAAAAGTGTTCTCATTTGAGGATATAAAAAAAGAAAGAATAAGAAGCTTGCAGGGTTTTAAGCAAAGGAGCAACACAATCATATTTACATATATTAGGAAGTTCACTCTGTGGTAGGAAAAGGAAATGCAAGCGGATGAGGAGAGTGCAGGTGGGGAAACCTTGTTTAATACTCCAGCAATGTCGTGTGTTGGGTGTTATCTGTTATGGGTGCTGTAGAAGAGCAAACTGGTTGTGAGAGATAAGAGATTCACTCATGTTACATGAGTCCCCGACCCTTACCTGAATCCAGGTTTAGTCTCTGGCCCCAGCCCCTGACTCCCGTGGGACAGTCCTGAACACCGCGTGCATTTCCACACATGAAATGGAAGAATAGCCTTCAGTTCTGGAACAGAAAATGCTGAGACCTCCTTCATATCAGCTAAGAAAGTTTTCCTTTCTAGTTACTCTGTAATCAAGTCAGATGATATAACCATCACATTGTCATCGTAAGACCAATCGTTTATTCAGTGCCACTCTGTGCCAGGCACTACGTACATTAGCTCTGATCCTCACAGCTCTTTCAGGTAAGTGCCATTGCTTATAGCTCACAGAGAGAGAAACTCAGATTTGGAGAGAGGATGGAAGTGTCACAAGGCTACTCACTTCATAGGTAACAGAATATGGATTCAAATCTAGGGTTTTTTCCTGGTTCCAGAGCCTGTGTGTATCCCTCCATCTCTCGCTCGTGCATTGCCCCCTCTCCACCTGCATGTGTATCTGACTTGCTGGACTCCTGTGCCATTTCCCTGTCTCTGGGCCACACATTTGTTGCCTTGAGATGTTGCATTAAATTTCATGTCTACAACAGCAAACAGTGGAGAGAGGAGAAACTGAAAATCTGCCACCCAGAAGCTACCCCTATGAGCAAAAAAGAATGATGCTATTTGCAAAGGGGATGCAGTTGCCTAACAAACTGTGTATGACAGGAGGGTTGTTATGTCAGGGCATTTCTAGAAAGCCAAAACATATTGACGCATGCCGCCTATATACACTCGTGGCTCGCGATTCACTGCTGACCTAATTCTGCCGTACTTGATAGATCCACCTTTATTTTGATCAGAGACTCCTGTTGGAGCGTAGGAGACAGGGACCCAGTGAAATATGCCCTAATGCTGGCCACAGCATTCCGTACACCTCAAGGACAAGCACATTCTCGCCAGTGTTTATGTGGAGGGATATGTTCCAAGGCCTTGTAGAAGGTGTTTACTGTAGCATTACATGCAATTGCAAAACATTGGGAAAATGTAAATGTCCTTCAAAAAGGAAAAGGATAAATTGAATGCAATATATGCCCCATGATGGAACATCTAAGTAAAAGAAAGGAACTACATCTCCTTATGAATCAATGTCAATAGGCCTCAGGAATACAATATTGACTGACAAAAGCAAGGTGCAGAATAATATGTACAGTATGAGTAAAGTACACAAAAGCAAAACTACGTATTGTGTATATGTGTGTGTGTGTGTGTGTGTGTATGTTTATGTGTATAGTTTAGAAGACTGGAAGGATACATACCTAATTCATGACAATATTTCCCTCTTCAGAGAAGAACAGTAAATGGAATTGAGACAGATGTAAAACTCAGATATCAAATTTATCGGGTAATTTTTTATTTAAAAAAATTGAAGAAAGTATATCAAAATGTTAACAATTGCCAGTTCCGGGTGGTGAGTACATGAGTGTTTATTGTTTTGTTTTCTGTACTTCTTTGTCTAATTTTGCAGCATTAAAAGCACAGGGGGTTTTGAATGACAGAAGTCAAGTTGGTAGGTCTAAATGTGCATGTGACTTGTTTCTGTCAAAATGCATAGGCGTGAACAGCATGTGTTGTAACCATGCACTGAGGCCCTGAGGGGCCCTGCCCTTTCTTGGCTCCATGCTAGTCCCAGGAATTAAAGATGCAATTTAATGCTAGCTTTCAAATTTGCATTTTCTAGTTCTTATAAACCACACACATCTCATCCAATGTAATTTACAAACATACTATTTATTCAGCTGATTACTTCTTATATTGCCACCTCCATAATGAAAATTGGGTGCAAAAATGAGAGATATGCTGGTTAAAACTACTTTTTACCAAGTTCCTTCTATAAGCCATCATCTTGCCCATTAACAGGCTTTCAAGTGTCAGAGAAGGAAATAATTGCGACTCTTAATAGCAAGTGTGCACATTACTTATCAACTCAGTCTCAACTCTAGTCTGAAATTGGATTGATAGTTGCTAAAAACACAATGTAACTGTTTCTTTTTTTAATTGATTTTTTTTTAGAGGGAAATGGGGAGCAGGGGTGGAGGAAGACACACACACACACACACACGCACGCACGCACGCACGCACGCAGGCACGCATAGATTTTGTTGTTCCACTTAATTATGCATAGATTGGTTGCTCTTTGTATGAGCCCTAACCAGGGACTGAACCTACAACATTGGCATATCAGGACAATGCTCTAACTTGACTGGCCTTCTTAGCCAGGGCCACTGCTTCTTAGTCAAAACAGGAAGAGGTCACGCTGCAGCACTGTCAAACACTTGCTTAGGAACAGCCAAATCACAGGCAATGTTGTTTAGTCAAACCTGGGCAAATAACTAGAAAAATACATTGTGAAGTTCCACCCCTCTGCCCCCCATGCACACACCACATCCCGCTGGTGTGCAACATCCTGCCTCAAGGTACCATTTTAAAGTATCTGCCTGTGGTTTCCAGTAGAGTCTTTGACCTTTTGTTAAAGATCTAACTTTACTAGGCAATTGATTTTTGCAGGTCTCTGGGGTGGTCATGGAGATAGATCTCGCTGTGGTTAATATTATCCTCTTTTTAGGACTTTTGCCACGTGAGAATGTATTAGTTAATGACCTTGTCTGGAGTGATAGACTGTGTATTTGCAATGGTGGAAACTATGGGATTCTCTTCCTAATGACTCACTTTTGGATACAGGGATGAAAGAGGCATGGAGACCGAGGGGACTGGTGGAGTGGACACTGGCCTGGTTCCCTTCCAGGCAGCATGGGACAGCAGCATAGCACAGATTCCAGAGTCAAGCCAATGACCCCACGGTCACTGTGTACCAGCTGCAGGGCTCTCGACCATCCCTCCCATGCCAGGTGGCCACTCTCCAGAGCTGCCCTGTGACATCGCTGTCAGTGTTCAGTGAGAGCATAGGCATAAAATACCTCACACAGGGTTGGCGCGCCCTGGGCTCTCAGCAAATCTTTGTGCCCTTTCTCTTCCCTTTACCATTTTTTCTTTGAAAATATCAATTACAAAGAATATTACAGTGCTATATGCTCTTTCAGATGGAAGAAAAAGAAAATTCATCATATACCCATCATGTTACATGGGGAAACTGGGGGCCTAGTCAGATTAAGTCACTCATTCACTCTTTGACTGAATGTCCCACCTTGTGCCAGGAATTGAACAAAACAGCATGGCCTTGTCTTCCAGATATACTTGAGGCCTCATGTTTCTTGCCTGCTCTGTAGATGCGGTGCCATCTGCCTGTCCCCACTCAGTCCCCAAGCAGCTCCCATCCCCCATCGTCTCTGCACACTCTTTGCGCCGGAACTGGCAGAACCAGTCTCTCCTAGTCTCCTCACAATCCTGACCTGATTGTCCTCACAAACACAGTCATATCCTCTCTCACAGCTTTTCATGATCAGATTTGCACCATGTCTGTAGCACAAACCGCTCTCCTTGTTCTAAAACTACACAGGAACTGTGTACTGAATGAGCCCACATAGGTGTTCCGCGGGCGCCTGGGACTCAGTGTGCTCCAACCACATCTGCCCCATAAGCTCCTTTGCTCCTGTGTTGCCCACCCACACACTCAGACTGAAAGCCAGCATCAACCTAAACCCCTTCCTCTCTCTATCCCAGACCCCATCCAATTACCCAACACTGACCGTCCCTCTATCCGTTCTACCAGTGAAATATCTCATATGCCTGTCCTCCCCCTTCTCCCCCACCCCCGCCACTGCCATCCCTCAGGCTCGCGTCACTCATAGGGGTGACTGCATGAACCATCTACCTGCGTTTCCTGCCTCCAGCCTGTCTCCGCCCCTGTGCAGCCCCCACTTTGCAGTCACAGTGACGTCCTAAAGCACTGCTTTGGCCGTGCAGCCGGTAGCCTTAAAACCTTGCCTACTGGGCAAATTCTGGGAGAACTAAGATATGAGATAGTTTCTCCTTTCCTATTCGAAGACAAACTCTGAGTTCCAGAAGGCAGAACCTATGTGGTATAGTTCTCTGTATCTCCTGTAGCACAGTGCCCTAAATATGGTTTGTTCTCAGTAAATGTTTCATAGACTCTTATCGTGAGAGGCACCTTAAAGACCACCAAGAGCAAACCTCTCACTCTATAGCTGATGAAAACAGAGGCTTGGCGATGTGGAGAGAACTACTTAACATCTTACATCCAGCTGTGGTTGTATTCCCTGCGTATCTACAAAACTTTAGAGTCTATACAGTGCTTTCACATACATTTTTATTTGACCCTAGAAATAATCTTGTGAGCTGAGTATGATTTTTCTCATTATACAAATGAGAAAAGTGAAGCTCTCATAGGTTGCAAAACCAGACCAAAGTGACCCAGCTGCTGATGGACTGTCTTCTTCTTCTTCCTTTTTTTTTTTTTTTTTTATAGGAACTAGTGAATACTTGAAACTCATTTTAAATACACATAGCTTCAAAGCTGGGCGGAAAAAGAGAAGCACTTCATGCATAGTTGGCAAATACCTATTCCTTAAATCCTACAATTACTTAGAATGTTTCATATTAAGCACTAAGTAGCTAATTTAGCTGAAACCACTAGTTGAAAAAAATGTTTCAAAGGTATGGAATTGTGCAGAGTTGTTTATTGGTTTATACTGGGTAGTTCTACTCCAGATAGAAGTACTTAGGTAGTTCTTACCTGGAAAGCCATGTTCTGGCAAAAGGAATGGAAAGCAACTTATTTTTGGCAATTAAGCTCTGAGAGATGTCAATGTGCCTAAATTGAAGTTATCATATCAAAGCTTTAGTACATAGTCTAGAAATCTTAAAAAGATTATTTTTTTTGTTTTAGACTATAAATTTGTCTTTTTAAGATATCAAGAAGTAGATGGTTGTGTGGTGTGTTAAGTGGGATGTGGGCAGGTTAAGGAAGATAAAATGTTTCTGAACATTTAATCCTTAGTCTTCCCCATGAATATTCTGGAAAAAGAATTGGTACTTTTTAATCCCTTCACCTGTTTCATCCATCCCCCCAACACCCTCTCCCACCTGGTAACTCTCAAAATGTCCTCTGTATCTCTGTCTGTTTCTGTTCTGCTTGTCTATATATTGTGTTTTCCAGATTCACTTGCTGATATGTAATTATTGTCATTTTATTGTTTATATTTTTTTGTCTTTTTTTCTTATTCTTAAAGAACACCCTTTAACATTTCATATAATACTTGTTTGGTAGTGATAAACTCCTTTAGCTTTTTCTTGTCTGGGAAGATCTTTATCTGTCCTTTGATTCTGAAAGATAGGTTTTCTGGGTAGAGTAATCTTGGTTGTAGGTCCTTGCTTTTCATCACTTTGAATATTTCTTGCCAATCCCTTCAGGCCTGCAAAGTTCCTGTTGAGAAATCTGATGGACTGTCTTCTGATCGAAATTCAAAACACTTTCAACCACAGCTAGCCATAATGTCAGGCACTCAGTGTGTATTCAATAAATATGTGTTAGATGAATTAACCTATACTTGAATGATAAAGTGATAGCCTTGCACAAGTGAGCAAATATATATTTATTGAATGGGTGGGTAGGTGGCTGTATGCATACTTAATTCCCTTCTGATAGTTGACTTTCTTCTCTCATGATGGCCTTTCAGAGGTGAGAGGCAACCCTCTCTTGAGTCAAATGCAGTCAACAGGAGCCTCGCCAAGAGTAGGCAGACACGGAGTGTGGATGTCACATTGACACCTATTGATTGTGAACTGTCTAGCTGGTCCTCCTGGACCAGGTGTGATCCCTGCCAGAAGAAACGGGTAAGTACTCACACCTTGAGAGAGCTCTAAGCTTCCAGGAACCCTAATCCTCAGCAAGATTGGCTGAGGCACTACCAACAGTGCCTGGCACATAGTAGAGCCTCAGTAAATGTTGGCTGATTTAATGATTTCTATTCCTCTGTGCTGCCAAGTAGCAACTACATCCTTTCTTTTATCTTTCAGAGGGTTTTTTTTCTAAATATATGTGACCTTGCTCATGTTAACAGCTTCCTAATTAGGCTTCCTGCCTCCAACCTTGCCCTTTTAAGCCATCTTTCCTCATGCAGCCAGAGGGAGGCATCAAAAATGCAAGTCTGGCCTATCTTCCCCAGCCTGAAATCACTCAAAGTCTACCCATGCCCCTCAGGATCAAGTCCATACTTACGGTGTTAAAGGCTAGACACCAGGACTAGATCTGTCCTACATCTCCATAAAACATCCCCCACTCCAGCACACAGAACACTTACAGTTCTCTGACCATTTTGCTTTCTCTCTGGGCCTTTATTCATGTTGCTTTCTCAGGAAGGACTGACCGTTCCCTCTTCCTTTACTGGCTAACACCCACTCACAATTTGAAACCCTGCTTAGGGTCCTTTTTTTGAGGAGCCTTCCCTGATTTCTCGGCCCAACTTACAGTTAGAGAGGCACCCTTTTATGATCTGTAATAACTCCTTCTTCCTCAGGTATCCATGCATTTATCAATTACTGTTTTATTATTTAGCTTTACATTAAACTGTGAGCTGTTGAAGGCTTACTCAATATTTTATTTTCATTATGTAGACCAACGTCTGGCACATGATAGGTGTTCCATAAATATGTGTTGTTTGATCTCATTGTATTTTCTGATATCCCTGTAAAGGAGGGAGAATAGTTATTATCCTCAATTAAGTAGATAGGTAAACAGAGACCCAGAGCAGGTAAGTGCATTCTCAGATTCACTTAGTAGCAAATGCAGGCATTGAACTGAGGCCACTGGCTTCTCGTCTAGTGTTCTACCAATCAAAACACCTAATCTCTGCAGTATTTATCTTCTGGCTCCCTTGTTATGTGGGCGCTGACCCAGGATCCTGGCTCTGAGAGCAGCAGATGTGTCAGAGAATGGTTGCCACTTCCCCAGCTCCTTGGGAAACCAAAGCAGCCATGGACTAGGACCCCAGTACAATTACACACTTAATTGGATCAATTGGAGAGCCAAGCAGGATCATTTGGTTCCCAAAGTAGACTTTATTGCTGAAGTTATCAACATTGATCCAATTATCTGGATAATTGCTTCATCTGCGCCATAAACCAGGAAGACTCAGCATGAGTCACCAATTCACCCAGCCATCCAGAACTCTTCACAAGGCGTTCACTACACACTTCCCGCAGCTGACATCATCGCTGTCTGCAGGGTTACTGGCTGGGTGCAGGGGGGGTTATCAAACCTTTCAAACTGGAATTGGGAGATGTCTTTCCTCCAATGTTTCCACACTCCTCAAACCAATTTTACCTTTGGTAGCCAGGGAGAGTCTTCTGTCAGTCTTCTTTCCAGACCTTATCCCTGTCCAGCCAGTCTCTGCCTTCCAGGAAGAAAGACCCTCTGGAAACACAAAAGAGCATAGGTGAATGTTTGTTTACACTTTTTCCCCCCAGATAGTATATAATTAATAACAGTGGCTGGTTAACGTCATTCTGCAAAGGGACTGCTAGCCTCGTTTGCCCCTGTTGTTGCACCAAAATCTTGACTGCAACTAGCATTGGGAAGCCACTAGACTAGCATTTCTTCCCCGGTTGTGGTTTTCTCATTGCCCCCATAATAAAACACTAGATCCACCCTTTCAGGGGCCTGGAAGGCCCTGCATTGCCTGCAGCTGCCCTGTCTCTCCCCATCTCTTGCCTCTCTCTGTCTTGCACTCTTCACTCCAGCCATGATGAAATTCCTTTCTAGGAACAAGGCCTGTTCTCTTTAGTCTCAGCTTTGGTCCGCAGCCTGGACCGCTCTTCTTTCCCCTCCTCACTGCTCTTTCTATGCTTGCTCAACATTTCTGTTCATCCTTCAGGTCTCAGTTTAGATGTCACTTTTCCATCTCCTAAGTAGGCGTTGGGAATGCCGCTTGTGAGCTACAGAGCACTTCATACTTCCTCAACCAGGCTACCCACCTCAGGGCCTGGTGCCTACCATCTCCACCTCCACTATCTGTGACCTCTTTGAGGGCAGCCCAAATGGCATGATTACATTAAAAAACAAACAAAAAAGCAATATAAACACCTACATTTTTTCCTTAACCATTGGGTGGCTCAGTCAAATTTTGGAAATTCAATCAATATCCCTGGAATAAACAAACTGGAAGGTAATGATAAAGATTGACTGCTAATAATTATTAATAATAAAAAATAAAAGTGAGTACCTGTGCCTACTGTGTACCAGACAACATAATAAGATTTCATATATGCATCACATATATAATTGAAACTTCAGAACTGTACCTTTATGTAATTAATTATCTCCATTTTACAGATCAGTAAATGGAGATCATAGAAGTTAAATAACTCACCCAACATCACATAACTAGAATGTATCAGAGTCTGTTGTGGCTCCCAAATACATGCTTTTGAATTTATAAAATACTGAAGAATACTTGAGACAGCCCATTGGAGTAATCATGCTGAGAGACAGTAGCATCGTGTTATTGAACCAGCCACATCAATCTACTTATCACATTTTGACTCCAGAGCCCGTGCTTTCCCCACATTCAGCAAATCTGTACTGATCCCTGGAGATGCAGAGATCAGACAAGATCCCTGCCCGCAGAGATCTCACAGTGTTATTGAAATAGACAAGCAGACGATCACACCATGGATCCTTAAGCACATGTATCCCTAAGTGACCAAGGTCCATGAGGCTCTACCCTCAGCTCACCTTGAATCTCTCCACTCCAGTACAGACATGCTACCTTGCTGCGACCCTCTCAGTTCCATGGGGATCCATGCCGGTTCTCTGACAAGGAAGCCGAAGACTGTGCTACCAGAGCACCCTGCAGAAGTCAAGTGCGATGTGAAGGCTTTATGTGTGCACAGACAGGTACAAAGGGACACAGGAGTGGGAGGGAGAAGCTAGCAAATTAGGCAGTGGCACGTGATGATGGTGGTTCTGGTCGTTGTCTAGGGCTCAAGATCAGAGTCATGTGTCAGGCCAGGAGGCCTCCTTGTTTCTAAATCTCTACCTCCTCTTATATGTATTATTTCATTAAAACAATCCTATAACTTTTGTGTTCATTATTATCCCCATTTTACACATAAAGAAATTGACACTTGGAGGAGTTACTTGCTGAGGTCATAGAGCCTGTAAGTGGAAAAGCTGCAGTTAGAAATTTGCAGATTGAAATCACATTCACAGACACTAAGGATGCCTATAGGATGTGTGGTAGAATGGGAAATCCTGAGTCAAGTCCCATTCTGACTTTGTGACCTAGGAGAAGTCATTTAACCTTTCTGCATGTTGGGTCTCACAACAGGAAGTCAAAAGTGACATTACTACCTTACAAGTTTGGTAAGTTAAGTTTGTTTTAAGGTTCAAGTGGCACAATGGGGATGAAAGCTCTTTTCAGACCATGAGCTGAGCTGGCTCTGTCAGAGGCAAAGTCTGAAACAGTTAAATAAGGGTGGTTAACATCAGTGATCTCAGAAAAATCTTTGGAGAGATAGTTCTTGTCTTCTGCATTTGTGTATCACCAAGTCCAGCATAACCCCTAAAGCATGATGTAGTCAGCAAAAACAATTTTGACTAAAGGAAGCAAGGAAGGAAAAACAGAAGGACATATGGGTGGACAGACAGAAGGAAGGAAGAAAGGGGCACATGAAAGAATTACCGTCAGCTGCAAAACTAAGTAAATGCCTATCTTTTTCAACCCATTCATCTGGCTCATTCAAGCAAACATATGTGTCTCTATTTCTGCAAGTGTCCAGCAAAAATAAGAATATTTTGACTGACCCAAATTATCTCAATAGGAGCTATAACTGTCTCTATGTTTACTGAACCTACATGGTCTATGCTTTGGGATCTTTTGAGAAAGAGTTAGGGATTTGTAGAACAATTTCTAGGGCTCATTGCAAATGCAAAATTTCATACAATAAATCTGAAAGACTTTTTTACAATGTGTCCACAGACTCATTATAGCCAGTGTTCCATGATTCTGACCAAAGTCATAATGGTTATTCGGGCAGGCTTTAGTTTAAAAGCCTTATAAGAAACATTTGAGGACCAGGTTGTTATTCTTCTGCATTTAACACCCCAAGAACATTGGTTAAAATTGATCAGGCATGTCTAAGGAAACAGGGTCACCTGTATTATGGGCTTTATCCCCTGAGAATATACAAATAATAAAGGAAGTCAAGTTAGTCAAGCGCTGCAAATAATTTCAAACATGTAGTTTAAATACTTTCATAGTTGAAAAATAGTCCAAATGGCTATAGTCTTGAAGGCAGTGCAGTCTACTAGAAATAGTTGTGACTAGACAGTTATAGAGTTATAGGTTTCAGTCCTGCTGTAAATATTTACCAGCAATATGCACCTGACCCACAAAAACACTAATTATAGTAATAATGACACTTATTGGGCATGAACCATGAGTCAGTACTGTCCTATTTACTCATTTAAATTCCCAGAAACACTAGGGGTAGGTATGACGACTTACCTGTTTTACAGATGAGTAAATTGAGGTGCGAGGTTAGGTAACATGAGGAAGGTCACACAGCTGGTATGACTTGCAGAACCCACCAAACCTATCTCTCTCCCCAGCCACAGGTAGGAAAGTCCAGACTTCCTGTCTGCCCACTCGATCTCTGCCTACTAGGCACTTTCCCTTGCCCTCCCTTAATAATCTCCCCTCAGAATGCTTTCAGAAACACAACACTGGCCTCTGTTGGAGAGTAAAATGTAAAAGCTATTACCAACCCACCATGATCCATGTCAAAAACAAAGTATTAAAGGTCTAGAAAGTGCCTGGTGCATAGTAGGTGCTCATAGCACACAAGTTCCCCTCTGACAACCCCGTAACTTTGTGTAACATCATTTTTCCAACCCAGGGAGGTGTATAAACCGCAGACTCCTTTGCAATGGGGACAACGACTGTGGGGACCAGTCAGATGAGGCAAACTGTAAAAAAATTTATAAAAAGTGTCAGAGGGAAATGGACCAGTACTGGGCAATTGACAATCTGGCTAGTGGGTAAGTTACTGTGTTTCTGTGGTACAGATGGGAAGGCACACAATTAAATGTAATTCTAAGAAGTAGGAGAAGAAGCTGATGTGAAAAAGAATTGCTTCTTTTCTCCTTTCTGACAAAAGATTGTAGTGTAAGTGCATGCCTACAGCAGTTCTCCAGGGACAGTTCTCAGGAGCTGCAAGAACACATCTTATTGACACACATGGGCCACCAGGAGGGCTAAGTTAGGAGCACTAGGAACAGAGTTGTGCATGGTGACCACCAAAGCTCCACATGAGCCCCAGGGATATGTGTGCATTTAGCTCGTGCTATGTGACCATGTGAGGGGCTTTCCAAGCCTTAACCTTTGAATCCCATTGCCAAGTTGTGTGGGAGGTTTCACCTGCTTCTGTAACCCTGGGCCACAGCATAAGGCCTGGCCCAGAGGAGAGGCTCCTAAGTACTCAGTGAAGGAATGGATTCCCAGAGTGAGTCTGCCGTCAGTCTGTGTTTCAGGCTTCTTGGGGGTCTCTGAGTGGGTGCAGTCCCCTGGCGAGTGCAGAGGAGCCAGGTCAGAAGGGACCAAGCTGGCCTGGTGTTTACCCTACTTACCTGCCCTATTCTCAGCTCCTCAGCCTCCGAGGGAAGAGTGAGAACCTCCCCTCATGGGCATTGAAAATCACCATATGTGACAGTGTGGGGAGGAGAGCAGTGACCCTGCTGGGATTCCCCTTCCTCCAGGACAAAAATCAAATCATGATCCTCAAAGGCTATTATAAGAGAGAGAGAGAGACTCCTCACAGGGGGAAGATATCCCCTCAGGGCTACCTAATAAGCCCATTATTATCATCCCCATCTCTTCTGTAAGAAGACCGAGGCCTGGGAAAGTTAAGACAGTTCCCAGGGGTCACATGGCTGTCCCAGGGGACAGAAAGTACTTTCAGAGCCAGTAGTGGGGTCTGAGTGGAGGTGACAAAAGTCTGAGCTCACTGGCCGCAAGACCTCAGGTGAAGCGCTTATCTATGGGAGGCTTTAGTAATGTCATCTGTGGAAGAAAGTCAATAAAACCCTTCTTTCAAGTTCTGGGAGTACTGAAGAAGCTAATGTGATTGTAATAAACTAGTAAGAGAGAGGTAGTTTGTGTGGTGGCAAGAATGTAGCCTCTGTTCTTGAACTAGACCCTCAGGAGGAATCCTGGCCTCACTAGTTGCTTCTGGCAGGCCAATTGCCCTCTCTGTGCCTCACTTTCCTCCTCTGTAAAATGGGCATGATAGTAGCAATCCCTATTTTACAAGGATTAAATGGGTCAACGTGTGTAAATTGATGCTTATGGTGCCTCCACAAAGTAAGCACCATGTTATATTTGTTAAGTACAATAAATAAATATACATTTTTTTAAATGATACTTGAAATTCTGCCATAGGGAAGAGAGCCTGACACAATTCTGTTAGGAACAGAACCAAGACCAATGGGTAGAAACTGAAAAGAGACAGAGCTCCTTTCAGCAACAACACAAAGAACTTTTGGTTAGCAGTCAGAACTGAGCCACAGCATTCAGTAAGCAATAAAGTCTAATTACAGACGGGATTTTCATCCTTCCCAAATGGACATAATAATATCTACCACCCAGGGCTTCGGGGACACTAAGGTGTTGCATTGAGCCACCACGAATGTGTCTGTTTCCAATTAGACCTCAGTAAATGATAATTATTTTATTGCCTTGTGATGTGAGTCATACAGAAATTCAGAAGAAAACCCTCATCCTCCAGGGCACACAATCCAGTGGGGACAACAGACATAATTAATAACAAGCATTTATCATGGACCAATCAGTATTCTAAACACTTAACAAATATGACATGTGGATTTCTCCCAACAGCCACATGAGGTAGGTATTCTCCTTGTTCCCATTTTATAGAAGAGGAGACTGAGGTATAGAGAGGTCAACCAGTGTGGCCAAGGTCATGTAACTCATCAATGGCAGACCAGGAATTTGACCCCAGGCTTCTGGCTCCAGAATCTGTATTCTTACCTATTTGTTAGACCACTCTTTTAAGGCAACTGTAATAGTACAGAACAATACATGCATGGATGGGACAAGCACAAGGTCACATGAGGGCCTCTTACCCATCTTGGTACAAGTGTCAGTGAAGGCTTCACACCACATGCAACGACAGAACTCAATCTCAGCAGATTAGGGAAAAAACAGTAAATGGCTAGAAAGGGCATTCTAGGCATAAGGAACAGCACTTACACATAAGAGAAGGAGCTGGGGGCTAGGGTAGGTGGTGGGTAGGAGTGGCCAGAGTTGAAGTGGAAAGGCTCAATCCTACCAGCTATCAAGGGCCTTGAAATTCTGTGGGTCCACCTACCATTTGGTAGGTCTACAGGTTAAAATTACATGGGCTGCTGCTTACCCATGCCTCTTCTCCCTCTCTATACTTTCCCTGCAGGATTAATTTGTTCACAAACAGTTTGGAGGGCCCAGTTCTTGATCACAGGTATTACGGCGGCGCATGCTCCCCTCATTACATTCTGAACACGAGGTTTAGGAAGCCATACAATGTGGAGAGCTACACCCCACAGGTATGTGCCAGCCAGGAGGCCCGTACAGGGTCGTGAGCACTCAGGCAGGAGCCGACTGCCATGGCTGAGAGGCCAGGCCTGCAGCCTGTGACTGGGCGAGTTTGGGGCATCCCTTTCTCTCTCTGAGGTTCAGTTCTTCATGTGTAAAGTGGGTGGCTCCTTCCTCATGACATGTAGTGAGGCTGACATGCTACATAAAGTAACAGCAATAGCTGTAGTAGCAGTAATCATACTAACAATAATATTAAAAAGGTACCAGGAAGACAGTATAGCTCAGGATTTGGAGTCTCACTGACGTGGTGGCTCTACAATTTTCTACCTGTGTAATCCGAAACGCTCCAAGTCTCTTTCCTTTCCTTTTCTTTTCTTTTACTTTCTTTTCTTTCTTTTTCTAAATATTTTATTATTTATGCTAGTGCAGTTGTCCCAATTTTCCCCCATTGCCCCCTCCACCCAGACCACACCCCTATTCCCATAGTCAATCCCCATGCCTTTGTCTATGTCCAGGGTCCCTCATATATGTTCTTTGACTAATCCCCTCTTCCTCTCTTTAAATTGGGAGTTATAAAGGTTCTACCCTGCAGGGAGAGGACTACTGCAGGAACGTGCATAAACGCTCAAGACACACCGCCATATCTGGTTGAATAGTGTGCCCTTAGGAAATGTTAACTCTTGTAGTTACCAAGTCCTTGCCTGTTTGTTAGAACCAGGCATTGTTCTAAGCTTTTGAAGTTGTAAACTGCTCTACCAATGGAAGCCTATTGTGATGAACGTGCAAACTGAAAAGCAGTCTCACAGAGGGTGGGATTTAGAATAGACTGTGTTACTGTGAGTGACATGCACTTAAGATCTGAGGAGAAGGCACTGGGGCTCAAGGCCTGGCTCTGCCTCCGGTCCCAGTTTTACTTTAGCCCAAGTTCCTTTCCCACTGCGGGCCGCAGTGTCTTCATTGTGAAAGGCGAGGCTGGAATAGATAACCTTCATGGTCACTTCCTCTTTGAAAACTGTGCATAGTGAAGCCACTAGCCCATCCCTTCTCCCTTCCTGCTCCCATTGTCCCCACGCATACTTATTAGCCAGAAAGGAAAAAGTGATCCTGGGAGAAACACGCCCTCTCTCATGGAGCCAGTGCCCTCCCACAGCCTATACTTTTAAGAGAGGATCTTAGAACAGCCGTTCATCAACCAGGCCCAGGCCAGAAATACAGGGTGGGGCAAAAGTAGGTTTACAGTTGTTTGTATGGAAAATACTGCAATAATTAATCACTAGTAACACAAGAATAAACTCTGTTTCGCATACTCACAACTGTAAACCCACTTTTGCCCATGCCTGTATATTTAGCCTCTTCTCTTCATAGCCAAATTTTTTTGAGTGCTGTGCCGGGTGCTGTACAGTACTTTACCCGTATAAACTCAACCCTCGGAACAAGCCCAGAGGGAGGAATAACTATTGTCTCTATTTTACACGTGAAGAAACTGAGGCATGGACAGGTTAAGTCAGATGTCCAAGGTTACCCAACTTAAAAACAGCAGCCTTATTCCCGGCCCCACCCAGAATCGCACCTGCTTCTCGGTATTGGCAGCTGAGGTGTTATGGAACCACAAGTGTCTAGAAGCTGACGATTGTTGGGTAAGAGTGGAAGCAATTTGGGACTGGTCACTCCAGGGCCACCAAGGCAGTACCCTTGGCAGTTCCCCCTGTGCACACAAAAAAATGGTCAGCCCTTATTTTTAAGCAAGGAGTTCTACTGAGGTCTCTCAAAGGCTTCTTCCTGCCCCTGTCACTTCATCCCCACTGTACCACCTTTGATCAGACTCTCATTTCTTGTCAGTGACATTCCTCTTACAGCCTCTCATTGGCCTCTCTGACTCCTGATTTGTCCCTACCAATCCAACCACTACCTTGCCCTGGAATGATCTTCCTGCGGTTCAGCGGCTTCCTCTATTGGCTTATCTTTGGATTAAGTCCAATTTCAGAGCAAGTCATCCAGAAGCCTCAGCATTCTTGCACCAGCAGGTTCTCTCACAACACCTCTCTATTCTCCTCACTCTTGTATCTTCTGATACAACTACACTAGAACTCCTTGCAGTTTTTAAATACATTCTGCTCTTTCCCACCTCCGTACCTGTGCCTAAGCCAAGTCCACAGCCCAAAATGTTCTCCTACCTTTCTGCCAGTTCAAACCCAAACCAAGCACTCAGCTCTGAATATCACCCCCTGGCATTGAATGCCTCTGTTTCTTTTGCTGGGTCAGGAGCTCCAGGGGAGGGACTGAGTTGGCTCTGAGTTTTCAGTATCCAGAGCACCTCATCCAGCATCTGACAGATAGTAAGAATACTGTGGATGTCTGTGGGCTTGTACTGAACTGATGTGAATCAAATAAAATAAAAACATTTTCTTTTTTCTTCCTTTAGACACAAGGCAAGTATGAATTTGCATTGACAGAATATGAATCATACTCAGATTATGAACATAATGTCACAAAGTTGGAAACCAGCAAGTCCAGTTTCAGCTTTGGTTTTAAAGTACCTGGAATATTTGAACTTGGCATTAACACGGCAACTGATAATAGTCAAAGATTTGTTCGCAAAACCAAACGCTTCTCTCATACTGTAAGTACCCTTTTGTTGCTCTTCAATTTCTATATATTCATTTCAATTTTCATGCCCACTGATATGTCTATATTCCACATTACTACTAGTCCTAGCAACCAATTACATTTCTATTATCTTGAAAACCTTTCATACATACAAAAAATAGCATGGTGTTATGTTAACTTACTTTTTGGAAGGTCAGGCAGCAATTGCCTTCTCAAATTATTTACCCTCATTTTCTAATAAGCTTTTCCCCTTGGTTTTCATTAATTTAATATTGTAGCTTTGCCAGACCAAATCATCTCTGGAGAGTTTTCAAACCCAACAATTTTACTTCCATCTCAAACTTTCAGCTGACATTTCTTTCCAGAAATTCACCCAAGACTTCTTCTCTGACTTTTTGGGGGCATTTGGTGAAGGTGACTTCACATCACACATCTGTTTCTCCTCTATTTTTCCTGCTCCTTATCAGTTCCCTTCCTGGGGTCCAGTATCTCCAAGTGTTCTGTTCTTTTTTTAAAAAATTATGTGTATTGATTTGGGAGAGAGGTAGAGAGAGAGAGAAACATTGATCAGTTGCCTCCCATTCATGCCCCTACCAGGGATTGAATCTGCAGCCTAAGTCTGTGCCCTTACTGGGAATTGAACCCCCAATCTTTTGGTGTGTGGGACAACATTCTAATCAATTGAGCCACACTGGCCAGGGCTCTTCACCTGTTCTTTAATTTGTGACATCTTTTCTTTCTCTACAGCCAGCCCGGGTGACCTCTTCTACTTACCTCCCTCCTCTCTGTGGACAAACCATGAGCCTTCATCATTGCCCCTAACCTTTCTGTGAATCTCTAACCAGTTATAACCTGCTCCTCTGGGTATCACGACCTGGATATCTTGCTGACACTCCAAAGCAAGTTCTTTCTCCTAAATTTTCTGTGTGAAATATCATTCTTTTTTCTACTACTTTCCCAGGCTAAGAATTCCAGAATCATATTTGATTCTCTTTTCTCTTCAGTTCTACCCTTTTTGGCCACCAAATCCTTTAGTATAACTGGTCAATATTTTTAAATCTTAACTTGGATTCTATCTTAACTAGCCCAGGCTCTGTCCTCTCTTGCTCTGCCCTCCTAAAGAGTCTCCTGTCTTCCAACTTGCCCCTTCAAATTTCTGCACTGCTGGAAAAATGTTTCTACAATGCCAGTCTAATCATATCATGTGCTTCCTATTGCCCATAAGATGAAGGTCAAAGCCCATGACTTGATGGAAGAGGAGTAACAGGAGTGGGAGGTAATGGGATGTGATGTTGGAGAACAGGTAACAGGCAGATTTGAGGAACTTTGAATTCCAGAGTGAGGGACATGCATTTTCTCCTCTGAGGTTTTTCAACTTCGGTGTGACGTGATGGAAAAATAATCTAAGAGGCACATGTGGCGGGGGAGGGGGGACACCAAGACTTAAAGTTGGCAGTGATTTATGTGAGAGGAAGTGGTGAGGGGCTCAGAAAGGCCTCTGGTGCAAAAATACAACCAGTAGAGAATGAGTAGTAAACTTTTATTAGACTATAATTACCTTGGTTTACTTTTCCTCATCTTCTAGGCTGTGAGCTCCTTGGCGGTAGAGCCTGGGTTTTTACATTTTTAGACTCAGAATGGCACTTTGTAGGTGCTCAGTGGTGAAGGATAGAACTGATTAAAAGGAAATTACCTTGTTAATAGAGAAAATGAAGGGTACCACCCATTTACTCCCTCTCTTTCTTCTTCTATCTCTCTCATTTTCTTGTCTCCCTCCTTCCCTTCCTACCTCCCTGATTCAAATAGCTACTTATAGACTGTGGACTCTGTGCGAGACACTAAACTAGAGACTTGGGACCCAAAGACAAATATGCCATGATGCTTGCTTTCACACTCACTGTCTGGTAGGAGAGGCAAATGTTTATGTTAGGTAACCTATTATTAATTTTCTAATAGCAGTTGTAATACAGAATGGTATATGCTATAAAGGAAATATAAGCAAAGTACAATGCAATCCTGGAAGACAGAGTGTGTTTAGGAAATTCAGAAATAATATCAAACAGGTGGCAACAGCTAAGCAAGGATTTAACATGTAAATAAGTGTGTGTCAGGCGGAAAAAAGAGGGAAGAGCAGTTCCAGCAGAGGGAACGGTGTGTGCAAAATTATATTATGAACTAGAATGGCAGATTGGGGAACAGTAAGAGGTGAGATGATGCTTGATGTATGGTGTCGGTGGTGGAAATAGTAAGGTATGGAGAGGAATACCTGAAGGTTGTAGAAGCTAAAGCCAGAGAGGCTATTGGGGCACAGGTTGTGGAGCTCATGTATGCAAAGTAAGGGAGTAGATTTTATTCTGGAGGCAACAGCGAGCCAATGCATGGGTTTGTTTTAAGGCCAGAGCAGCATTATAATAGTACAATCAGAATGTAAGGATGTCAGTTCTGATTAGAAAAAGGAGAGAGATGAGTGAGAGATCTTTTATAATAACCCAAGGAAGAGATGAAGCCTAAAATATTTAGAAAGATCATGAACAGAGCACCTCGTGACTGCTTAGGTTGGAGAGGCAAGGAAGAAGGAAGAGGGTCATGAGTAACTGGGGCAGGACTAGAGTGGGTGACAGCCAGGCAGACACCAGTGGGTGGACTGGGTGAGGGGTACAACCAGAGCTGGTGCAGTTTTATAGAACTGATTGTTCAAGCTGCTGAATTTTTAAGATTGGGGCAGAATGTACGCCATGGACACTTTCCACATTTTCACTTTTTTTCTCTGCATCCACAGCAATGTAGCAGCCTCTCTCCTTGGGTTATATTATGAACACCTCCTGGATGTTTGCGCTTCACCTAGCATCACCACCTTTCAGATGATCCCACAAATCAGGGTCGCCAAACTTTTTCTCTAAAGGGCAAAATGGGCTTTGTGGGGCTGTACAGGCTCTGTTGACACTACTCAACTCTACCTCTGTAGTATGACAGCAGCTTTGGACATAAACACGTGGGCATGGCTGTATTCCAATAAAACTTTATTTCCAAAGCCAGGCATTGATTTGGAGTGCACAGGCTGTGGCTTATTGTCTCTTGCTGTACATGACAATGTCTAGCCCCCCTAAAGCACTGCTTTTACTCTTTCTTGAGTGGCTTTTCTTCTGCAGAACATAAAGAGGTTGCCTTTGTGGGTCAGCAAACCCTGTGTCCCAATACAGTTGCCACTTGTGCCCATGCTGCCCCCTGCCATGTCTGCTTCTGGTTACCTCCCCTTCTCGTTCCTTATTTGCTACTTTAAGGAGGTGAGTGCAGAGCTAGCTCTTCCAAGCTGAAAAGGACATTGGAATATTTATGAGACATGTCAGGGAGGCTGCTTCCCTCAAGTATCCTAAAGGAATCATAAGAGCGATGACCCTGGACAGAGAACATCGGTTGGTATTTGTAAAGTTCATCTTCTCGTTCCAGATTCCTAACTTTAAAGGTCTGGTTTTCCCATGTTGGTATTTCATTTAGAGAAGCAAATTTCTGCACGCACGCTCTGACCTTGAAGTGGCACGTTACAAGCTGAAATCCCGAGGCCTCATGCTCCATCATGAATTCCTTCAGCGAGTCAAGCAGCTGCCCCTGGAGTACAGCTATGGGGAGTACAGAGATCTCTTGCGTGATTTCGGGACTCACTACATCACAGAGGCCGTGCTTGGGGGTGTTTACGAATACACACTCATTTTGAACCAAGAGGCCATGAAGAAAGCAGGTACGTGGCCCAGGGGAACATGGCCCTTCACCTGGGCACATGTGAGCTATGTGTGTTGATGGGGAGGGGATTCCATTAGTTGTGGGAAGAAGAGTTTTAAGTTGTGCTCCTTGTTTTCCTACTCCTTCCCTGGCTTTACTTTCACAATTCTATCTACATATTCTTCTTCTTTTTTTAACTTGCTAAGGTTGGTTCTCTACCCAGCCCTCCATCCAGGCAGTCCTCTTTCTACAACTCCTATCTAGACAATAGCATCTAATCTCAGGGCTTTAGATGCCTTCAACGTGCAGATAACTTCCAAGTTTTATATCCACCCTGGGTCTCTTCTCTGCAACCAAAATTTGTGTCAAAATGCGTCCTTGATACCTCTATTTGAATGCCTAACAACCATCACAACTTTAACATGCCCCCCAAAAAGAACATTTGCTTTTCTTCCCCAAATATGTTTCTTCCATAGTCATCCACATCTCAGAATAGTTCCGTCATCTAACTAGAGGCTCAGGCAAAAACCTAGAAGTCAACCTTGATTATTTTACCTTCCTTTCAACCTATTAGCACATCCCATCAGCTCTAGCCCCAAATTTCATTTTATCTCTGTCTTTACCATTATGATCTTACGCTCATCCCAGGACCAGTAATTCTCAAAATGTGAATGTGAATTCTTTGAGGATCTTGTAAGAGGCACATTCTGATTCAGTAAGTTTTAGGTGAGGCCCAAGATTCTTCATTTCTGGGAAGTTTGACATGATGTCAATGCTGCTGACCCATAAACCACACTTTAAATATCAAGGTAGCAAATTATTATTATAGCCTATGAACTAATATTCAACTCCAATTCCTCTTCTACAATCTGTTCTCCGTATAGATATCCATTCTCCATACAGATACAGTCTTTCCAGTTGTAATTAACTACAAGTCTAAGGCATGATTCCTGCTTCCCAACCCAGTACTGTTTCCAACAACATGGCACTTGTCCAATTAAGTGACCTGCCCTGGGTCACAGAGTTTACAGTGGCAGAGCCAGGGCTTGGTTATAAGTCCAGGGTACTTGCTAGGAGTCATGTGGTGCATTAATGTAAATTTATGTCATGGTAGCCTCAGTCTTGCCAAGATCGGAGGTACCTTTCTCCATAGAAGTGGTTTCAAAAGTGATTTTCATGCTTCCTCAAAAAGGCTCTGTAATAAAATAAGTTGGGGAAACATGATAGATCCCACTTTAGGTGTTTCACAAGCATACCACCATAAGCGACCTCTTCACCTCTTCTGATACAACATTGCTCACACTTACTTGACCACAGAAGCCTCTTTCCTTATAAAACTTACTAGTACAAGAATTATAAGAAATGTTAGCAAGGGATTCATGTTTCAAGGAACATGCTTTGGGGAATAGTGATCTGCACCAACACTACTAGACACCCTGAGTAGTCAAAATTCTGGTTCTTGCACTGGCCTCAAAGTGTTACAGAAAGGTGCTTACAAGTCATACCTGAGATTTCAGCATGCCCAGGGGAGGAGGATGGCTGGGGGAGAATTAGAGTGGGGCAAGTGAGAAATGATCCAAAAATGAAGAAGAAATAAAAATGGACCCCTTTGCCAGGTACTGTACCAGACACTTGATATGCATTACATCAATAAACAAGCTCTTTCTACTACATCAAAGATGAGAGAAGGGTGGATCGGGGAAGGGAGACAGATTGCAGCAACCTATATTCATTGGCTCTATCCCTACCTTTTCAGAAAAGGGCTCTCTGAACACTTCCCCTCTTTGGCAGGCAGCAAGAACCCTCAGAGTCTTCGAGGAGGCTGTCGGGGAAGCTGACACTGATCTCTTAGGAGATCTCTGCCCTGGTGCAGTAGCTGCTTGCCTTTCTTGTCATCAGACTGGCCACCCATTCATTTTTACCCAAGTCCCTGTGTAGCATCATGACATCCAGCAAGGGCCGAGCCTCCAGAATTAATCACAGGGAAAAGGACAAGGTGAATCACCTTTAGGTCAAGAGCCTCTTTTCTTGCTTCTTTCAGATTATTCTCTTAAGGATGTTTATGCCTGCACCAAAGCAGGTTTTAAAATCGGTGCTGCAATCAAGACGGTCTATGCCAAGTTCGGTGTGTCGGGGGAGAAATGCGAGAATATTCTGAAGGAAATAAATGGTGAGTGGCAGGGGCCTGTGACTCCTATTCTTATCCTCTTTCTCTTGTGAGCATCTCCAGGACCTCACCTTTCTTTAAGTTAAATACTCAAGAGTCCAAGACATTTCAATTAAAATAATAATAATTCATTCAGTAAAAATTTTCCTAGCCCCTACTATGTGCTGGGCATACAAAAATGAATAAAATTGCATTTATATCCTCATGGTACTCACATGAAGTAGGAATACAAAGAACCAGTAAGAGAGTGATAAGCACCAAACCCAGCCCAGGGCATCCCTGCAGGCTTCCTAAGGGAGGGATCATTTGAATTGCCACTGGAGGAGTCAAGTATCAAGGTTGTGTTTTAGGCAGGAAAAAAAAATCTAACAATGGAACGTTAGTTGGGAGCTAATTCTACCCAGAGTTGGCCCTCACTAGGGGAAGGATGCTAGGCTCAGGGTGGTAGGCAAGGAGGCTAGTTCTTCCCTGAGACAATGGGCTTTACAGAGACTAGAAGAACAGACAAAACCACAAATCATGCAGCAGAATCCCCTTGGCAGGGTACTGAAGCCAAAGTGTAGAGCCAGAGGTCTTAGGAGCAGGCAACTTGAAGGCCATACAAGGAAGCTGGGACTCACCATGGCCAGTGGGGCAAGAAAGAGAGGCTGATGAGCAGGGCTCCCATCCCCAACCCCTTTGCAGCTCACACAGCCCTCCTTTGTCTGCTCTAGTTAGTAAGCTTATGTGAGAAAGAGTTCCACAGCCAAAACAAAAATTAACTGCTCATCTAGCACAATCTCTCGCATTGTGGCTAATGTGTGTTTGATCATTTTGGTGCATCTGGTTTGGAAGATGCATCCTACATACAGAGGCATACATAAACTATAGGTGCTCTTTAAAGACTATTTGTAACGTGATCCCCCCATCCAGGTTGCTAGATAGAACATCGCTCAGCACCTCAGAACCCCTCACCAATCACAACTCCTTCCTTCCTTTTCAAGATAGCACCATCCTGACTTCTGTGTTAAACAAGCTCTTCCTTTCTTAATAGTTTTGCCTCCCATATGTGTCACTTACTAGTATGGCTCAGTATTGTTTGTTTTTGAACCATGTATGGATGGAATGTAATCTTTTCAGTTCTGTGGGGCTTTTTTTTTTCATTCAACATCATGTATTTGTGTATGATTATAATTCATTTCCTTCACTGCATAGTATTTTATTGTTTGAATACATCGCCTTGTCCATCCCACTGTTAAATTTGGGTTTTTCACTATCTCACACACTTAGAATCAATGCTGCTATGAGCATTCTCACTCAGGCATCTGGCCCACATGTGCAAATGTCTCTCCAGGGACTACTCCTAGGAGTGGAATTGTTGGGTTGTCAGGTATATTCTTTTTCTAGACTAGATAGTTCCAAGCTGTTTTCTAAAATGGTTGTACCTGTTGACACTCCTACCAGCAGTATGCAAGGCTCACTCACTTCATACGATGTTTAGGTGTTGCACGCTCAGGGCTGGGTAGCCACTTTATACCAGTTCTTTTGGCTTTGGGCATATAGACAAATTAGAATGGGAATGACTCACTGATGTGATTGAGCACTTTCTGGGAAACTCCAAGAAAAATCAAAATAATAATCACTCTATAGTGGACACTCTTTCATAGGTATCTATGCCCTGCAGAGCCCAGCTCTTACAGATTTTCCCAGCCTTTTCATCCCACACAAAGAAGTGATATAGCTTAGAGTTTGGACAGAGCTCTCTGCATAAATTCCTTCACGCCAAGGCCTAAGATTTCTTCTCTGCAAAGTAAGAATTACATACTTTCTCTGTCATGATGAAGATTGAGTGAACGTATGTACAACACTTAGATTAGTGGCTGATACATAAATGATCAATAATCTATCTACCAATCTATTTACCTATCTATGATCTATGAATCTATCCTTATGTATAGATGGATTTATGTATCTATTTACCAATTTATTGTCCTATCTATGATCTATCAGTCTACCCACATGATGTATCTATCTATGTAGGTATCTATCAACTACCTACTAATCTATTTACATTTCTATGAGTTTTTAGTCTATCCATTTCTATCTATCTACCTATCAGATATCTATCTTCCATTGACTAACATAGTGACAGGCATTTATAGATACTCAGAATAAAAGTCCCCCTTTCTCTGTCCCCAAATTGCATGTATATGGATTGGGTAAGCAGTCCTTTGCCCCTTGCAGTGTGCCTTCCTTGCTGGTAGGGATATCTCTTGTCTACCCACTTCTACAGGGCAAGTTCAGTGAATATCATAGTAACCAGGTTGTTAACTGGGTTGCAGTAAATTTTAAGGTGCAAAGGTAGATTCCCTGGCATTCTAGGTCTCTGTGTTCATATCAGACAGAAACAATAAAGACAGCATGGTTGAGGACTTGGTGGTCCGAGTACGAGGAGGAGCAAGCGAGTACATCACTGTCCTGGCGTACAGGGACCTGCCGACAGCAGACCTGATGCAGGAGTGGGGAGATGCAGTGCAGTACAACCCGGACATCATCAAAATCAAGGTACAGCTGGCAGCTGCTTTATCCATCCTCCCTCTATTCAGAAAATAGCCATGAGGGGCTACTGTGAGCAAGGGTATGGGATATAGAGCTCAATAAGACCCAGCCCCTAATCTTGAGATGCATGCATTATAATGGAAATATAGCTGGAATGAACTGATTACAATATGCTGCTCAGCACCAGCTAGAAACCCCTGACTCCCTCTCACTTAGATCCCCAAGTTGCTAAAGAAAATGAACTATCACCTTCTATTCCAACCTTATTAATTGTTTCCATTTCATCAGAGTACTCATTCACTTATTTTTGTTCACTTAAATATTCATTCAAGCAGTCAACAAATAGTTGCTGTGTTCCTGCACTGTGATAGGAACTAAGGCACTGGAGGAAAATAGAGCGACATGCAAGGATGAAAAATACAATCTATGCTGAACAGTAAGACACATCCAGGCATAACTATCTGGCAGGGCAGGATAATACATCATGGTAATCACCAACATCTTTGGGGCACATATTCATGACACTTGGCCAGGGGCTTTAACAGTGTTATTTGATTTAATCCCCATAAGTCTTCAAATTAAGTGTGCTTATCTCTATTTTGTGGCTGATAAAAACCAAGGTCACAGAGGTTGCACCGATCTGTGGTTGCTCAGGAGTCTCTACTAGGTCCAGACCTGGTACTTGCATCTTTTCCCTCCCCTTCAGACTTTTAAAAAATAATGATCCCAACCACCTGTCACCCAAACAAGAGCAGTTTTGCAAACTTAAACTAAAAGGACATTTGCTGGAACAGGGCTGTCATACACATCAGCAGCGGTAGGTCCTTGCCTGTGGGGCCTTCAGGACGGTGTCCATGTCATATCTTACACCATCCTCTTCTCACCATCATCTGTACTGTCATTGAGCGTCCAGCCTTCAGCCCCTGGAGATTTACTCTTGCAGCAAAGGAGGGGAACTAAGGGGCTAGAGCTCCAGTAGGACACTTTGCACTTTCCAACCCTGGCAATTTCCCACAGGGTCTTTATTTGTATGTCAAATGCATAGTTTCTGCAGAACAAGAAGGCTGCCATTCAAATCCTCTCCTTTGCCACTTATTCAGTAATGACATGTAGACAAGCATCAGGAAGGACAGAATTGCAGGCAGCTCGAGGAATCTGGTATTGGTAGATGGCATGGTGGCATGGGTTTGTATTATATAAGGACATGGCAGAGAACAGAATTCAGGGAAAAATAGATCCCTGGTGTTTACATTTTAGTTGTCTCTTACCTGAACCTTTTATTTAAAACTGAAAGTTAATGGATTACCCTGATTACCTATCTAAATAAGTTGGATATGCCAGAATTGAGAATGTCAAGAGGCAAGCATATATGTGGTATCAAATGTGGTATAAGGGGGGAAGGTTTGCGGGCTAAACTTCTCAAACAGGACTGCAAACAACCACAGATGTGTAGCACTTTCCTGAGTCTTCTCAGCATACATGGGATGTAGTAGAGAGTCATACCTACACAGTCAGTGAAGGGTTCTGCAGAGCTACATGGGCTGAAAGAGGGGAAGAGATTAGAGAATCAGAAACGTTTTCTGGAGCACGGGACGCAGGATCATTGAAGGTTTATATGCACTTCCTCTGTACATTCCTAACCTGAGTTGGAAACATGCATTTTGGGGACCCTACTCCTTCATGAGGTTTCTGGCAAGAGAAACCTACAAATGGCTTCACATTATCTCTGACTAATTCTTCTTTGCAGAGTCCATTTACCAGGTAGCTAGAGCAGTTATTGCTTCTCAGGACAGGAGAGCCCACTACATAAGCAATTCCTAGACACAAGTGTTAGCTGAAGCTTGTGTACATAGACCAGTGTTGAAGATCATGATCTAAGACATGATTCCTGTAGAATCCAGGTGGGTGAGGGAGAAAGCCAAAGAAGAACCCATTGCTACTGTTTACTGGTGAACTTTAGACACAGAGAGAGGGCTCTTAGTTCACAGAAGAGTTAAGGGAAAGCAAAAAGCATATAAAAAAGGTTTGAGCACAAAAGATTGACATAACATTCAAGATGCAAAAGAGTGGCATTCATCTAAAATATAGAAAAACAAGTAAATTTAAAATGCATTTGCTTTGTGATTATAACAAAATTCAAGAAAACAAGGAATACGTGACACAAAAAATAGGAGCTGAGATGTTTAGACACAAATCACATGAAAAGGGAAGTAGCTGAATATAGGAAACCAAACCCACAATAGCAGAATTAAAAGCTACATGGGAAACTATAAGGAACAGAATTGACACTGCAAAAAATTGAGCCAGTGATGTGGAAGGTGCTAGAAAAATGTTCTTAGAATGTAGGAGCAAAAGGTGGGATTAAAACAATTACATGAAAGAAATATGGACAGAGAGTACAGAGTTAAAATCTAAAACTCAGGGACTTCTTCCTGAGAAGCAGACAAGATTAAGTGTGAAGATGCATTAATTAAACACATAATGAGGGAAATTTCACAGAGCTGATAGTGCAAAATGAGCAGCTTGTTGAAAATTAGGCAAAAGTACTGGGTAAAAAAACCAACCAAACAAAAACTGTACTGAAACACTTCCTGGTGATTTTTTTTTTTACTTGTAGCAACAAATATGTCCTATAAAAATAGAAGTCATAGTGCTCTTAGACTTCTTTGCAACACTAAATGCCTGAAGATAGTGGAGTGACAACCACAAGGTCTGGAAGGAAAAAAGCATGTGGTGGACTGAAATGATCCTTAACGGCTGAAAAATCCCAAAGACATTTTGAGACATTAAAGAAAGTACATAAAGCGTGGCCAAATTTAGCAAATGCAGGATGCCAAATTAAATTTGAATTTCAGACAAATAAGGAATAATTTTTTAATAGAAGCATCTCTTTGGTATTTCATTGGGCATAGTGATACTAAAACAGTTATTTGTTTTTGATCTGAAATTCAATTTTAACTGGGAATTCCATATTTAACTAGCAACCCCAGTCACCAAGTCCATCATCTGTACATATTTCCATAGTTGGGGCTCCTAAGCTGTGGTCTGAGATCCAGGCTGATGGAAGCCATTGTGTGGAGCATAGGCATCGTCCAAGGTGAAAGGAAAAAATATAGTAGCGAATGGTGCCCACAGAGATGTGAGGACAGCCTAGGTTATGCTGCAGTGAAACAACCCCCAAACCTCAGTGACATGTTCAAAAGTATACTGGCCAGGGGGTTTTTCCCACCGCCCCCCAGGTGTCCAGGCAATGAAGGCTTTACCTGGGCGTGTGCACCCAAGATCACCAGCAGTGGAATGGAAATAGGAAAAGTCATCTCACTCTGCTCCAGAAGATTCAGTCTGGAAGGGTCACTCCCTCTACTCACCTTTCATGGCTCCAAACAACTCACATTGCAAACCTGTCCTTAAGGATGGCAGGGAATTGCAGCCCTGACACCTGCCCAGAAAGAAAAGAAGCTGATATATTTGGTAAACAGATAACAACCATCATATCTTTCTAAAGCAGCTTAGTGAAAGATTCTCTAAAAAGCAAATTACTCTGACCAAGAGAAAGTTTAAAAGACAGACGTTGTGTTAGCATTGCGTGGGCAGATAATGTTGGATGTGGACTGATGGGACTGATGACACCACCCTTAAAATAAATTCTGAATTTCAAATAAGGAAACCATGCATATAATTAAATGGCAGGTGGCACACCTACAAAATAATTTGGCCACACATGGAATTCTAACTGTGTAAGGACTGATGCAATTTATAAGAAAGACAGATCTCAAAGAAACAGGCAACGGCCAGAAGAAATCAGAAAATGAATAAATATGCAAAATTTTCAACTTCCCTAGGAAATAAAAATTAAAGTAACGAAGCAATATTTTTTACATATCAAGTTGACAGTGATTAATAATCAATAATACTTAATGTCCGTTGAGAGTGGTGAGATGGGCACTTTTATAAAATGAGATGGGCCTATAAATCGTTACAACCCTTTAGGAAAAGAATTTAACCATACACACCCAAAACATTAAAAAATGCTTACAGCTTTTTATTTAATAAGTGTAAATGCAGAATCAGCTAAAGAAATACTGTTCACAGTTGGTAAAGATGTGTGTATAAAAACATTCCTTGTTTTATGTTATTTATAATAACAAAAGAGAAAATAAAAAAGGAAACAAACTAATGATTTAATAACACAGCAAAAGATGAATATGTTCTAATTCATCTAAAGAACATAGGAAAAATCATTTTATGCTCATAATATGATGTAAAGTGGAAAAAGTGGAGTACAAAATTATACTTGTCTTAGGCCACCAATTTGGTGTCAATAGAATATTTGTCCATCTACCTATCCAAAAAAGATACACTGAAAGGCAATAGACCACACAACGGTAACCGTTCAAATCCTTTCCCACTACTGTGGGAATACTGTGGCTCTGGTAAATCTTTTTAACTTTTCTATGCCTTAGCTTTTTCATCTATAGAATGGGAATACAGAAGACTACCTGACTCATAAGGTTGTTGTGGAGATTAAGTTAGATAATGTACGTAAAGTATTTAATTCGGTACCTAATAAATGCTAGCTATGGCAATAAATATTTGTTGTCATTTAAAATGTCAATCACCAGGGCCCATTACAGACAATTGCATAGTGTTTAGTAGATAGCACCCATCATCTCTTTGCAGCAATGTGATAAATAAAATGTTTATAAGGGTAGGTGTGCTAAGGACCCAATAATCAATGTGAGTAGTTAGGACTGTGTATTTAGAGAAGAGATGGGAAGGAAAAATGAAGGGAGAGAGAGAGCCGAAAAGAGAGAAGGGCAGGAAAAGAGGACCAGTAAACCAAAGAAGAGACAGATAAATCATATGCATTTAATTTAAAAAGGAAGCTGTGAAGTTTTGAGGAGTTGCTTCTCAGAATTCCACCAAAATCTGCAAAATTTGTTGAACCCAGGGATAGAGTTTAGAAATAGAAATAGTCAAGCCATTTTGTTGACGGGAGAGACCTGGTTCTTGCTGATGCATGTAAAGAATTACAGATCAGCAAATCTATTAGCGTGCAATGGGAGTTTATTAGTGATCTGTTCCCCTGGAAGAGAACAGGCCTAGCTAAGGTTGGGGATGGGGGTGAAAGGCATAGGTTCAGGGCAAAGCAGGGTGGTGAAAGTGAGGGCGGCTAAAGGCCAGGGTGGCCAGAGAGCCAAGGGCACCCAGAGTGCCCCGAGTCCTTTGTTCTGAGGACTCATAGAGTTGGTAGGATTGGAGTAAAAAAGTTACTTAATGATTAACGGGTAAATGTGGTGCCACTTTCCCTGGGGGGGATGTGACTACCCAAACTTAGGTATATGAGGGGGTTTCTTAGCCCAAATCCTTATCTTGCCTCAGACTCCATTTGTTAATGTTGTACAACAGATACATGACAGGAGGCAGTTATTTAAATTTGGGACAGTTACCTGAAGTTATTTATGGGCTCTTTCTATAAGCATTAGGGACTATGGCGTAAAACACATAGTGACCAGAGGTAGGCAATTCACCAAAGTTATTTTATGGGCTTCTTCTTTGGACACTGTGGACCCTCTCCCACATTTCAGGTCTTGGAAGGAAAGCACAGTTTCAAGGCTTTCTTTCCCAGGTAGTGGAAATACTACATAGCATTTCAAGGATTGCCCTCCCTCGATGCTAACATAGTGTTTCTTGTGATGCTGGAACACCTGGCAATATTATCAGACCAGGCTCATGACGGCTGAGTTAGCAGGTGAGACATGTCTCCCTCCTCCTTCCTGACTCAGTTTATTATTCATTCTACCTAAATGATAAAAGGTATTTCCTGGCAACCAGGATGCTAGGCACTGTCCAGTAACAGCAGTGCAATCTGAGTTCTTCCTATGCTGTCTCCTGCCTCAGTTTTTATCAGGAATCATCATGAACTAGTAGGAAAAACAAGTGCTGTTGTATGAGTTACTGACTTCGTCCAGGTTATTTAACCTCTTTTGAAAACAGGGCTAATGGCTGCTATCTTGTGAAAATGAAGTGGGATCCTGTTTGTAAACCACCAGCACAGCTCCTGGCACACAGTGTACATGGAAGATTTGTTCCAGTTCTGCTTCTCACTTGTTCTCTTTCCTGGAGCAAGTCTGGTAGTGCTGGTAGGGAAATGCCTGGGTAGTTAAAGGCAGCCTTTCAGAGTACTCCCTAGGGAAAGCTGTTGGACGAGCTCATCATTGGTGTATAGCAAACCCAGCCCCTTCCCTCCTAATCCTCCTCTATGTGTGGGCCAGCAGGCTGGAAGCTTCTGCAAACAGCCTCTGGATCAATTCATTGACCACAAAACAGTGAGACAATGGGACCACCAAGGGGCCTTGCTCTGCCCGCTGGGGCGAAGGTCAGCATCAGATGCATTAAGAAATGGAAGCAATTTTCTTCTCACTGGAGGTTTCTATTAGGCATGATTGCCTGTATTTAGACAGACCCTAAACTCTCCAGGGCTGGATTCGGGCAGGATCACTAACAAAATCTGGAGAGGATCCTGGCCTTGGAGCTGCAACTAGAGCCAAGAGAATTGACATTTTTAACTACATTTTGGGGCTTCGCCTCTGGTACTTCCTTACCTACAAATGCTGCCACTTCCATCGGTGGCTTCCAATTCTCAAACACTACCATGCCCTCTCAGCAACCAGCATCACTGCTTCTGCTTCTGCGGTTCTGCTATCCACACCCTCTCCTCCACATCTGCCATTACTGCCCTGATGATGAGGTCTTCATTCCGTACATCTATCCGCTTTATCAGTGGTTCTCACTGTGCTCAGGGCTTGGATGCCAGAGACACAGCTGAGCAGTTGTGGCCCTTATCTTTAGGACTTTACAATCTAATTGGAGAAGAAGAAGAAGAAGAAGAAGAAGAAGAAGAAGAGAGATTTCGACACAGAAAATTTAACAACCAAGGAGCAAAAAGAATTTGTATCAGATGAGTAGTATAGAGTGTTCTGAGCATTTCATGGTGGGAAAGTGTTCTGTGAGTTTTGGAGCTCGGGAAAAGCTTCCTGATAGTGGCTCTTGCATGATATAAATGCTTTTGATAGATTTGGAGCGGGGAGTGGTGCTAGGATGAGGTTCCTTTAAGACTTCCAAAGAGCTGTTTGAAAAATCACCTCCTCCCTCACCTGAGAAAGATTAACTGCCTGCTCCTCTCTATTCATTACAAGTTTCCACTGTTACCTGTCACCACTGTGCTGCATCCCTTAGTAAGTTTGTCCCTATCTCTAGACTCAGAGTTTCTTGTGAGTGGGGATTTTATTTCATTCCTTACTTGTGCAGAATTCCTGGCACTGAGGAAGTATTCAGTAAGTACTGGTTGACTTGAACTTGAATGAGCTTCTTTGTGAATAGGAGGTGGAGTGGGACAGAGAAACAATGGGACACCCATCTACACACTGTGGCTTTTACCCAGTTCCATATGAATCCACTTTTGGTCTCCACGTATGCACTGACCCCTTGCCCATTCCTGCAGAACCTTGCTTTCAGCTTCTATTTGATTAATGTTTTCTGTTGACAAAAAGGCCTTTCCTCCCTTCCCAGGTAGAGCCTCTGTATGAACTGGTAACCTCCGTAGACTTTGCCTACTCCAGCACGGTGAAGGGGAACATGAAGCGGGCCCTGGAGGAGTTCCAGAGAGAAGTCAGCTCCTGTGTCTGTGCTCCCTGCCATGGGAATGGAGTCCCTGTCCTGAAAGGTACCACTTCCAGGCAGCTGGTGTCCCTTGTGGAAGCCCTCATCTGGAGGGGCTGGTTGTGGGGCCAGAACAGGTTATTAAAACCACATATCCTCCAGAGTAGCTCAAGGAGAGTTTCTAGGTCAGTCCCTAGTCCTCTACCTCAGGCCCCAAAGTCTGTCATGAAGTTCTTTCCATTATCTCTAAGGGGAGGAAAGGACCCCCTGGTCATTTGGAGTCACTTAAAGCTGAGCTTCTTCAGCCTAACTCAGCATTAGAACTATGGGCATACTTTGGAGACAACGCATTGTAGGTTTGGTTACAGATCACTGCAATTAAGTGGGTATCACAATAAAGCAATTCTTAGTCTTTTTTCTGGTAAAGAGTCTTGCCTTCCATCTATTAAAACAACCACAACACCCGTGAATGGTAATAAAGTGAAGCACAATAAAATGAGGTATGCCGTGTTTGAGACCTTCAGAACTACTGATGCTTGGCCCCAACCTGCATCATGATGTATCTCTGGGGAAGAGCCCCTCATAGGGATGGTGAAACCATCTCCAGGTAGTTCTAACCTGCAGTCTGTGTGTGACTCAGGATGGCCAGAGTCCCCATGTCTCCTGCAGTGGAAGCAGGAAACCTCTGCACTCAGGTGCAGCTCATGGCAGAACGCACTACGTTCCTCTAAGGCAGCAGATGCCAGACTGTGCGTGAGAATCACCCAGGGAGCTTTTCACAAACACAAAGCCTCTGCCCGAAGTGAATCATTGGGATTAGCCTCTGAAAAAGCCAGCCAGATGATTCCACTGTAGAGTCAGGGCTAAGAAGCTGTTCTACAGCTGAATCCATGGCAGAGAGGACTGAGGATTTCACTGAGCTTATGGACTAGTGAGAAAGCTGGACTTGAACAAAGAGTTATGCTGAAATATACCAAGTGGTAGAAGAAATGTTAGTCTAGTTCCCAAGGACTCAGAATATAGGCAGGTAGGATACCTGCCTCTTGCTATCAGGATACCTGGGTTATAGCCAAAAGGGGCACAGTGGGTGACGGCAGCATTAAACTGAAGACAGGAGCAGACTGAGGCTGTGTGGTCTGTAATAAAGAGTGGAGATGGACTTAGGAAATCTGTTCGGGTCAAAGAAGGGGCCCCGGGCTGAGCAGAGGAAGCCTGTGTGCATTCTTGGACCAAGATGTGGTGAGCAGATTGAGGGGCTGGAGAGCTGTGGAAAGGATGGACCATTAGAATTAAATTCCTGAGATTGGGGGACTCAGGAAATCTTTTCTGGTCAAAGAAGGGGCTCTGGGCTGAGCAGGGGGGAAAAAAAACCTTTGTGTATTTTCTGATGGAGAAATGTTGAGCAGATTGGGGGACAGGGGAGCTGTGGAAAGTATGGGCCACTGGAATTTGATTCCTAATTTTGAGGGTCACACTGGGGTTACTGAAGTGGGCAGGACAAACTTGGGAGGTGCTGAGCCTGGGATCTTATACTTCTCTTAAGATAGGTTAGCAAAACTCTGAGGAAGTGCCCAGTCCAGCCTGATGACAAAATGGGGCACCCACAGCAACTGGTTCCAGGACATCCCAGCCCAGGGAGCCAGTTGTAGTGGGCAGAACAAACCATGTAGATGGAGCAGACTCAACAGAGGGGATACAGAAAAGGCCTCTTCTCATGGAGAAGGATCCCAGCTACCCAGCTGAGACTAAGGAGTGTGTGTTTAATTTGTTGGACAAGACAGGTATGAGCAAAGCAGACATAGCGAGAGCATAAGGCTGGGAAGCTCTGCCTTCAGGACAAGGACACCTAAGTGAGGTTCAGTTCAGCAGGAAGTCAGCTCAGCAGCTCAAGGGTTTGATCTAGGGCTGCTGAAACCCCCCTTTCCTTGTGTGTCATTTGGACCTAGAAACTGGGACCCATGTGAGGTTCTTCACTGGAGGTGGGGAAGAGTATGAAGACAGGGGCTGGGATGCTCACAGGGCCTGATTTGTAAAAGACAGTCCCGTGAAGAGATTCAGTGTAATCCAGATGAGAAAAGCTCCAGGCTGACACATTACCAAGTAACAGAAGGAGTAACGGGCCAAAGAGAAGATGAGACATCTCAGGGTGGCGAGCTCCCTATCACCAGAGGTGATCAAGTAGAGGCTAGATAATTATTTGTGGTGAAAATGACCATTGGCCTCACTGACCACAAATGTACCTTCTGACTCTGAATTCATAAGTCTAGGGCAAGTTTCTGCCAATCAGTAGTATTCCAACAACAACTCCAAACAATTTTCCATGATGGCAATAAATGTGTCCTTTTATGAGTAAAGGGCCATCAAGAAAGGAATAGGTATTCTTGGCACTGAACCTTATTTCAAACCATTCAATGGAATGTTTGCCCTCTTTTAACCTAATGGGAAAGCAGTGATGTAGAGAAATGAACTCCAACAGTTCTTTGTGCCACATGGTTATAGTTCACATTCTCTCTGCATTGTCTTTCCAGAATCACGCTGTGAATGCATCTGTCCTAATGGATTTCAAGGCCAAGGCTGTGAGATCACCTTACGGAAAGGTAAGGAGGCTTTGAGAGTAAGTAGGAAAAGGGAACCCTTGGAAAGTCCAGAAAATAATTCAAAAAGAGCAAGAGCAGGGTGGAGGTGCCTGGTAAGGAGCTGGACATTATGAAAGTTGAGATCTACCTTGGCTCCAGAGTGTATATTTTATTATTTTCACAACTGAGAGTTCTTCATGTTGTAGGATGATTAATGGCATTTGTAGTCATCTCTTTGGATCATTCTGGAATGCTTACCTCTTTTTTTTTTTAATTTAGTAAACTCCTATTCAGTCTTCAAAATCCAGTGCAGATGCCCCTTGTTCTACAAAAAGTATTCTAGCTCCTCCCCATTCCCAAGTAGACTTAATCCTTCTTCTGGACTCCTGTGAATAGGAATGATCATGTTCAATGTGTCTCTGTGTCCCCATGTCCCAGCACAGTTCCTGCTCAGTGGTATGTGTTGAAATAACAAATGAAAGAGTAAACTATCATTAAGATCCCTCTCAGCTCTCATATCCTTTGGCCAGTTTATTATCTAAGAGTTGTCAACTCACTCCTCCTCCTTCCCTTTATTTTCCTTTCTATGACTTTTCGTGATACCATTAAAAAAAGAAATTGCACATCAAATAGAAGCAATAAACATTTATTAGGCACTTTACTCTGTACCAGGCCCTTGCTGAGTGCTTGGACTCAACTGGGTTCAAATTCCATCTGTATCATTTAATAATTGCGACCTTGAGCAACTTACTTCACCTCCTTGTGCCTCAGTTTCCTCATCTGTAAAATAGAGATGGAGGTATTAACTATCTCAGAGTTGTCTTGAGTTTCTCATCAGGCATATAAAGCACCTACAATGATGCTGACCATGTTGTAAGAGCCAAGTAAATATTGGTTAGCTTGTTTTAGAGCTAAATAAATAGTGCTAAATAAATATTAACTCCTTTTTGTTTTAAATATATCAATTTTACATCCATTTTATATATTTTGTATTTTACATATATTAAATTTATATTTTACACATATTAAATCCTTTAATCCCCACAACCTCATAAAGTAATACTGTCAATATCCCCATTTTAAAAATGAAGAAACTGAGGTTTAATGGGCCACGAACTAACTTGCTCAATCAGTCAGTACATGTAGGAACCCAGGTTCATATCCAGTGGGTCTGAATATACAGTCTTTAATCTTGAATCCATCCTGTCCATACTATTCCCCTCCCCAGCAACATGCTCAAGGTTGTCTTCACTCCCTCTCCTCCAGAATTTCAACTAGGCCCCACACAGTAATCTGCCAGGGAATGTGCAGTTGGATTTCTACTGGTTGGAAGAGACCTTGGAAAATTCCTACTCCAGCCTTCTCATTTACAAATGGGGAGGCACAGAGATATTAAGTAGTGCACCCAGAATTACACTGCAAGTTAGAGGCTCAGCCAGACACATGATATATCAGAGTGGGTATAATTGATTATTTTCCAATCTCATCAACCAAAAAATCCCCAGAGGAAAGGCAAATGTCAGGGAAGAGAGAGCACAGTGTTATTACATCATTTAACACACACAAGGCTCACAATAGACAACATAGCTCTATTTTATACATTAAGAAGTAAATTATCCAGCATCCTATAGTTGAAAAGTGTCTAAGCTGAAAACCATTCATTCAACAAATATTCACTTAGGGCCTCCTATGTACCAGTTTAGGTGCTGGGATTTCATGCTGAGTAAGTCAGATAGAGTCCTTATCATCCTGGAGATTCCTCTTTAGAAGAAAAGGCAAAAGTTATTTGAATTTTCCCAAAGATATATTTAAAGTTTTAATTTTAACTGCTGCATAATGCTCTGAAAGCTTCAAATATGAGGAATTGATAGAGAGTTAGGGGTCAGGGAAAGGGTCCCTGTAAGAATAACACTTATGTTGAGATCTGAAGGGTGGATAGGACTGACGATAAATAGAGGAAGGAAGAATGTTCTAAGCAGGGGAAACAGCATGTGCAAAGGCCCTGTAGTAGAAGGGAGCATGGTGAAAACAATGGCCTGAAAGAACAGTTGACTGGAGGAAGAAGATCAGAGATTCAGACTCCCAGAGCCTTTCGGATTACACAAATCCTACCCCACCTATAGGGCACCACAGTGTAATAAGGGTTAATTAATGTTCATTGACCTTTTTTTTATAGATGTCCCCATTGATGGGCGATGGAATTGCTGGTCAAACTGGTCTCCGTGTTCTGGAGGACATAAAACAAGACAAAGGCAGTGCAACAATCCACCTCCTCAAGATGGGGGCAGCCCCTGCTTAGGCCCTGCTTCAGAAACACTTACCTGTTAAGGAAGGGAGAGTTCTAGCTGCTAACACTATTATGGGCTGTACACAGTGAAGGTTTGAACCCTAGGGTCTTAGGCAGCTCACCCCACGCTAGCTCCCACCTTGGGCCAGCCCAGGGCTAAGGACAGTGCCAGTCAGGATGTTTAAAACAAAGATTTGTAAAATGCACATTGATTGGAACACATAGTGAGCTAAACAAGAATTATAGGTTCCTTAAAGGCTTAATCATCTTGGTAATCCTCACTTGGCTTATCACTACAGTTTTCTTTTACTCACATTTACCACCAGCCAGGAGCTGTGCTAGGAGTTAGTCACTTTGAAATCCTACTGTCTAGCAGTGACTGGTGCAGAGTAGGTGTCCAGTAATGAATCAATGAATAAATATTAAGTTACTCCTCCCTTGAGGAGTATACTGTCTCGGTCAATGACAATGGCATTTAATACTTATTGAATTATTACTTTGTACCAACCACAGTGCTTAATTCATCAGTAGGTTAATTCTTTCCACCCTCATGACAACCTTATACGGTGGATGCAATATATTAGCTCTATTAAACAGGTGAGGAAACTGAGGCTTAGAACAGTTAAGCGACTTACTTGTCCAGGGATACGCAGGAAGGGGCAGAGCTGGGCTGCAAATCTGGGCACTTGGGTTCTAGCTTGGGTTACAAGGTTTTAAACTCGTAATTATGACGCTCCCTTTCTTTCAATGAATTTGGGCATGTGATTAACAAAGAATATTTTATGAAATAAACCTAGGAGAAAGTGCCTTACATGTGTTCATATGTGTTGTGTGATTAACATATCTTCACCCATGCATCCTGAGGGGAGTAGATTGTGGTTCCTCAGCTCCCTTGGATGCTGAGCTCAGGAAGGGTTAGTTGTGTATGTTGCAAGCGGGAGTTCTGGGGGCAGAGATGAATTGTGATGTGAGTGGGTCCCCATAGAAGATCCTGAATTGAAGATAAGAGCCAGGGGAACAGGTCACTGAATGAGGGACAGTTAAGAAAAGAACAGGAAAAATCGAGGAGAGGTTGTGTTGGCTGACAGAGGAAACATGTCAAGGAGAAGTTCAAGTTGATGGCTGTGGGGCAGAGTGCAATGCAAAGCTTCTCCTACCTCTGTACATTCTACTTTGCTCACTCACGCTTTTGTGCAAATCCATTTTGGGGACTTGAAGGGGAGGGTAAGGAGGCAGTGGATCTTCAGGTTGCTAAAAAACAAAATATTTTTACTATTTAGATTAAGTCAAGTGATCATGTAATCTTTATTGCTCTTATTCTATGATATTAAAATATCCCTTAATATTTTTTTTTCTCTTGGGTACTTTCAGTCTGAATTCAGAGCTTAATATGAATTTGGTGAAATCAAATAGGTAGAAAAAAGCAAGTTGGTGGAAGGTGAATTGATTCACCCTATTCATTTTCAACCAGGTTTTTGTTTGTTTGTTTGTTCTGTTTTTTTGCTACATCATCTGCTTTGAGTTTGCTATTGGGCTCAGTCCTGGGACGTAAGTCTTTAACATGTCCATGATACCAAAGCATGGGGTACTACCACCCCCCATTCTGGCCCAACCAGTCATTTAGAACTGAAAAATTACCGGAAGGAGCTGGTATTTTACTGCTCAGGGGTTGTTGCAGCAAGCACGTTGATTCTGTTTCCTTTCCACATCCTCTGTCCCCTGCAATTTAGCTGACAGGCCTGGGCCTTTTTTGACTTAATATTATTTCTTTGCTGTCTGCTGTTATTTCAACAAGCTAATCCAATAATGTTTTCTCTCTTTCATTATACCAGGGCCATATAATTTTCTTGAGTTATAATCTATCTTCTTTTAAGATTCCCCAGAGATGGGGAAGAGCAGCTCTGTCTTTGGTGGAGGGAAGGCTCCCACGAAGCTGACACCAGCACGTGGAAGCCAGTGCCGCCAAATTAAATTCTGAATCTCAATCACAGCCACTGCTTCTGATGGGAAATTTGAGTTGATTATGGAGATGATAGCCCAGGTTCACGTTTATTGCATTTAACAGAAATTGTTTATCCTATTAAATGTGGTCTTGAAGGAGAAACAATTGAATTGCAGAGCACCAGTGAATACCCACATGACGCCCAGGCATTGCTAAACTGTGTAATAATTATATTCTTATTTGTGGGCTGAACTTCCCCTCGTGGCTCTTTTTGCAAACAAATGCATTTAGGAGGAGGCTTGAACATAATGTAAGAATTAAACAAAATAAATGCAAACTGTGCTTTTGGAAAGCCTTGGCAACTGTAGTTTGCACCAGTGTACCTGTTTAGGAACAGCCGTATCTGTGGGGCACAGTCTAGGCAGTGGTTTGGCAGTGGTCCTGGATGCTTGAACACAGCACGAGACACCTGGATATGGAGAGTTTTGCATCAAAAAGCATGAACCTCTGAAATTCTGGGAGCTCTGCTGTGTGCTTGATGGGGCGGCTGGGGGATGGGGGGAGTGTTCTGTATCTATGCTTCCTCCCTGTATGACCTCGGCTAATAACATAACTTCTATGGGAATAATAATTACTATAATTATTATGATAATAGCTGCCAATTATAGAGTGCTTTTCAGTTTATGAAGCCTTTCAGCCTACATTATCTCATTTAATCTTTATCTGAATTGGATGGAGTAGATATTAATGCAGTCACCAGATGACATGTGGAGCAAGTTTCAGAGGGAAGCCTGATCCTTACAGTGAATGAGCTGACTATGGAAATGAAGGTGGGGTGGTGGAGGGATGTGCAGGGATGTGCAGGGAGGCCAGAAGAGCAAGCACCTGCTGCCAGAGATTCCAGAGGGAAATGCCACCTTTGTTCTAAAGAAGAGGACTCTGCTCCCAGGCAGTTTAAAAAACAAAAACAAAAAAAACACAGGGCAAGAGAGTATCTGAAGCAGAAAGTCCTTAGGACACTGGCCAGGTCTCTGTGGGGACTTTTATGATTAGCATCTTGATGGAGAAATATTTTGTTTTACAGATGCAAGATGTCCTAATGGCAGTATGTGTATTTGCCAATGTTTTTAGGCTTTGCAGACATTGTATTATAATTTAATCATTTATCATCTCTTATTCCTTCTCAGATAGAATGTTCATGAAGGCAGGATAGTGTCTACCTGCTGCACTCATGTATCCCTAGCCCCCAGTACCATGCCCGGGATGATTAGGCAACAATGAATAATTGCTGCATGAATGAATGAACTAATTGAAAAAGATGTGAGTGGAGCCAAGGACAGAACCTTCCTAGGACAGTGAGAAACTTGTGTGTTGGTGGCACATGGTGGTGGCACCATGAAGTTCGGGATACAGATACCTGATATAGGGACAACCCACACAGCAGTGGCCAGGGGAGGCACCTTCAGCCGGCTTCACAGACACATTGCAAACAAAGAGTTAGATAAGAAAGGCAGAAAGCTGATGTCAGATAGGGGCTGATAATACTTGGTTAGGGGTGTTAGAACTCCCACTCAGGACCATCAGAAATTTTCCGGGAAACTTTACAGAGGAAGGGAGCAGAGAAGTCTGCAATCCTGGCACCGGAGTCAACCCAAGAAGCACACTTATAGGTTGATGAAGAAAACAAAGCTTAACAAAGTTACGAGGCCTGCCCTGTATGTGGCAGAGGCGGGAAATGATTAAAACTCACTTAAAAAAATTGTCTTCCAACATGCTGCCTCCACTTTCATTTCTTCATCACAGATTTGCTGTAAACCTGCAATGCCCTCCTAAAGCCTAACAGCGAGACCTTGGAAGGGAACACTTGAGAGTCTCTGTTTATTGGATGTGAAATCAGAGTTTTCCATGTGGTGTGTTCCACTCTGAGTTGTCTCTCTTAAGTGTTTGGCCAGATTCCAATACTGCGGTACTCAGGAACTCAGAGGTGGGCCTACTGAGATACCTCAGGGACAGAACAACCTCTCAGGCAGAACCAGAAACAGAGGCCAGGTAACGAGTGAAGCGCTTAGACTTGGGTGCCCTAGTGCCAGGCTCCTGTGTCTGCAACATGGCCTGGCTCTATGACTCACTAGCTTTGTGGTCGTATGCAAGTTATGTACCCATGTGGGCCTCTGTTTCCTCCTCTGTAAACTGGGGTGGCGACAGTAGCATAACGCCCTGTGAGCATTATGTGAACAGCTATACTCAGGAGAGCGCCTGGGACAAAGCTGGCCCACCACAGTTAGCTATACCATTGGCATCATTGTTTCTAGGGGTTCTCAAAACATCAACAAGGGCTATGGTTGGTTGGTTTGAATTTTTATAGTCATTTAAAACTGCTTTAAAAACACTTCCGTGTGAAACCTACTATAACACATCAGAACAAGAAAGACATAAAACAGCTTACCATCTAGGAAATGTCTTAATAAGGGACATAAAGAGCTTTTCCATCCCAAGCTCTGGGTTATTAAGGGAAAATGTAACAGCATAATAACTAATATTTGCGGAGGGCATTAATGGTTAAAAAGAACTTTCACATACCTAATCCAGCTTAATCCTCTCAATGCCTACTAGAGGAAGGACCTCTTATCTGTCCCTGATACGTGATGAGAGACTAAGTGATTTGCCCCACACTACGTAGCTAGAGAGAGGCAGGACTGCCTGAGTCTGAGGGCGGCTGCCACAATGTGCCCTTTTCCCCATGGCAGCAGAAGCATATCGGGCTTCATTGTACAGCAGGTGCCTGCCCACCAGCCCACTTGCATAGAAGAGGCAAAGAAAGGCCCCTGGTATGGCATGTGGTAGTGGAGAAGCTGAGCCATTTGGATGGCTTTGGGGCAGGCAGACAAAGGTGCAAAGCCCAATGCCTCCACTTCCTAGCTAAGCATCCTTGACAAGCCATATATCTTCTCTGTGCCCCAGTGTCCTCTTCAGAAAATGTGGCCAACACTCTCAATGGCATAAGTATAAGGAATGAATGACATAGCATATGAAAGCAAAGGGATTGCTTTCATCCCAAAGTGCCTGGCACATGGTGGATGCTCTGCCTTCCTTTTGGGTGCTGAACAACCAACCCTACCTGATAGCTGCCTTTTTTTTTTTTAACCCTGCCTAGCATCATAAGATTGCATTTTACAGAAAGAAATAGGGGTTATGTTTGCAGTGGGGAATTCTTGGATGATTGTCAAAGGCAGTCAAGTGGCTGGTCCAACGTTCACCTCTGTGCAGAAGGCTGATCCGGAGCTTGGGTCCTCCCATTATCAGTGGCCGCGTCCACCAGTTATCTCGTGTCTACACCTTGCAACCCCAGGTGTTCCTTCATCCATCACTGACCATTGTCTGGTATCCACTCCTCCATCCCCCACCACCTCCTGCCAGTTGGGCCTCCTTGTTAATAAGCCAGTTTGTTCATATCCTGAAAACTATCTGATTCTGGCCGCTTTTATCCCAAACACCATCCATCCATCAACTTGCTCCATGGGCTTGGTTAGGAAAATGGGAATGGGGAAGGGAGACAAATAATAGATAAAACTTCATAGCTGCTATCACCAAAGAAGTAGAATGGATAAATAGATCCGTCAGACATGTATCATGCCACTAGACAGCAAAGTCCATTTGTTAAAAATAGATTAGGACAGAAGGATTTATCTCACATTTTAAGCTGTTAATATAGAAGGGAAACATATTCTCCTTTATCTCTCCCAGGGATGGGGGAAGGGGCAACCCCAAGGCCATGAATGAAGAATTTTTAACTCCATTTGATGGACTTTCCTTCACTAAGGTAGAAAAGACAGGCTCTGTCTTATATGTGTGCAGCCGCTAGGACAAGGCAGATTCTCCTCTGATGCACCAGGTGCAGGATCCAGTTCTGTGAAAACATCTTCTGTGGGTGGCTTTCTTACAAACTCTGGCACACTACATGCCAAACCTATTTTGGAACCTCTCTCTCTAGCATAGAGGGGACCAGAAAGAGAAACACATTCCACAGACTTTTACTGGGAAGCTCCAAATACTATGTTAAGTGCTGGGACTCCAAAAGTAAATATGAGTCCTCATCCACTCTGCCAGAAGTCACTGGGTTAGGGGGGCAGACAACTTGGCTACAGTGATGAGGCATGTAAAGTGTTAGTTTAATACAGTTTAATACAGTTAGTCTAATAAAGGGTTAGTTTAATACCCCATGTGAGGGGGTAGCATATGGGGAAGTGTAGGAGAATGGAAGAGGTCAGTGTTGGCTTTCTGGGTGAATGGACAGAAGGGAAGAGCTTCTGAGTAGCATGTGCAACAGCCTGGAGGGAACAAAAAGCCCAACCTATTTAGGGGACTAAATTGGAAATAGTTCATTCATTCAATGAATATTTTTCTTGAATCCTATGAAGGCCAAATACCATTCCAGGTACTGGGGGCCTGGCCATGAAAAAGCTTGCTTATTAATGGTGGAGGCATACCAAGGTAGGGAGGAAATAAACAAATCTATAATCTCAGGTAGTGACAAGTGCCATACAAGAGAAGTAAGTAAGGGTCAAGCCTTCGATGCGTTAATATTTGAGAAGAGACTTGAAATAAGGGAGTAAGTATTGGGTGAGCATTTAGGGGATGAGCATTTTTAGGCAGAGAGGGCAGCAAGTGCAAAGTTCCTGAGGCATGAGAGAGCTTGGCATGTGTGAAGCACAGGCCAAAGACTTGAGTGGTTGGAGCAGCATGACTGAGGGAAGAGTAAATTGAAGGAAATGAAGTCAGAGAGAGAGCCAAAGACCAGCCATTACACGGCTTTGTGTATCATGTTAGAGACAATAGGTTTTTAGAACAATTGGCTCATAGAGTCTGAAATGGGAGGTAAAAATGGAGCTGTACATTGTGTCAGCTCAGAGAGAACCTTGTGAATTCAGTTCAAAATGCATGGGCTTTATAATAATGGCTGTGGGGTGTTGAACCACCAGGACACTTGAGGTGAACAGGAGGATGACTGGAAAGTGTCTGTGGAAATCTGCTCAGGACCAAGCACCAGCTGCTCTCAGTTACCAGACCCAAGGTCCAGACTCAGCTGTCCCAGCCTGAGAATGGCCAGGGCCCATTCAAGGAGCTGAGCAGTGACCACCCCCCAACCCTCCTCCTCATGTTTCCCCACTTCTGTGACTTTGCCTGTGCTATTCCCCCTGTACCTTTCTGCCTCTCTTTCACCCTCCTTTGCTTGTCTACCTCCTATTCATTTCCTCATCTCTTCTGGCCATGCTCTCCTCCTCCAGGCTGTCTTTCCTGCTCCCACAGCCCCTGGGTTTCCTGCTGGTAGGAAACCCTCCTGCCGTTGTTCACAGGCCTCCCCCTGGCCAAGCATTCTTCCAGGGCTGGAACCATGTCCGATTCCAGCACCCGGCACGGGACCCGGCACAGGAGCTCACCCATTCCCAAGTGAAGGGGTAGCATCCTCCATTGTCCTCATGGAAAAGAAGTGCCCTTTGCTAATCTGTATTGCGGACCCTTCCTAACATGACTCCTGATGGCTTCACTCTGCCATCCCTCATTTCTGCAATGTGTTTTTGGAAGCCTACCCTTTCTCTCTGTCCATTTTCTTCACCCTAAAGCCATATAGTTCAGAAGAGATTCATTGAGTGCTGAATGCTTTAGATCTTCTCTATCTCAAAGGCGGGGGGGGAGGAAAAAACATCTCCTTATTGCTTTTCATTCTATCATTAATTTACTATTCAAAAGGCACCTTGTCAAGCTGAAGATTATATCTTTAACCCATGTTTTTACATCCACTACCCATAAAACCTTAGATTATAGATCTCCTGAAAGGACCTGCGGGAGAACACATCCGATGAACATTTTTCCTTTTGCTTGAAGAGAGCCAGGCTTTCTTGAGGAGGGAAGGGCGCAGATCTGGTGAAGGTCTGTGGCTTCTAAAACTGTGACTGCTGCTGTATTTTAATTTCTAAAACTGCTGGGATATGCATCAACTTCAGATGGGAGAGACAAGTACTGGTCTTGGTTTTCTGGGTCAGATGATAGATAGGTAGTCTTGGCTCACAGGTGATCCAGGCAACTGCTTAATCCCAGTGTTCTCATCCCACCTAGATTATTGGGTTTACCTTCTAAGGGGTTTCCTTGCCCCTGGTTTCTTTCCTGTCCCCTGTGCCCCACACACCAACCATCCTACAAGTCCCTCCACTGGTAGAAAGCACAGAGCAAAGGTAGGGGACATGTGCTTGATGTACTGCACTGAAACCCTGGCCAGCCAGCCAGATGTGAGACCCATGAGGTTCAGCCTTGCTGAAACTCAGTTTTCTTAGCTGAAAAATGGGCCTCACAGAACAAATCTAAAGGGTCCTTGATAAGATTAGATAAAACAGCACAGATAAACCTTACTGTGGCTGCTCTTTTCTTTGATCACATACTGCCGTTCCTCCTACATGCAATGACTCCTCAGCTCTCAAAAGTTCTCAGCCTGAGCTGTGTTGGAATCACCTGGGCAGCTTTTAATAAAACTACTGATTCCTGACTCCCTTCTCTAGAGATTTGGATTTAATTAGCCTCGGGTGCAGCCTTTGGTCAGCACTTTTTAAAAAAACTCCCAGGTGATTCTGATGTGCAACCAAGATGGAGAACTATCACTTTTGGATCAATCTGGGCTGTCTGTAAATTGCCCACTTGGCCTGGCCAGTCTGGCGCCCCATCACGCTCTAACATGTAACTACCACTTCCTAGTAAATAATTAATGGAAATTAATTATTAGTGTAAATTAACTTAAAAAGCCAATTAATGACAGGATGAGAAGCAATGAGGCAGTCTTTTTTTCCTTCCTTCAAACAGAGAATCTAAAGAGCTCAGAAATAAACTTTTAAATGATAAGTTTTCATGAATAATAGTAACAATAACAGTAAGGGTGATGCTCATAATTTTGTATGTGACAGGCATTGTTTTAAGTATTTTATATTACTTATTTTATTTACATTCACAATTTTCCCCACTCTTCAGCACGCGCACGTACACACCCCCCCAAAATCCTCTCTTGCCTTCAAACTTTGTCACACGCTGAATTTCTGTCTTAAAGATCTCCCTCTTTGCCTCATTCAAAAATCCTTCAAGGTGTGGGTCAAGCCCCATTCCATATATAAAACAAATATAAAAAGATCAGTCTCTCTCCCACCTACCCTCCCTTGGCACTTTGTGTGTCACGTATTTGGGCATTGTTAACTCAGTAATTAATTTCCTGTGTCCCTAAAACCCCTTCTAATTGTATCATGTCTATATAAGTCTTATTATTACCCTAAAAAGACTGACAGTTCTGGAAGGATGGGGGTGGAATTGTGTGTGTGTGTGTGTAATCAGTCAACAGATGTTTCTTGTACTGACTGGGAATACAGATTGCACCTTTGAAGAGCTCACAATCTGGAGAAGAAACTTACAGGTAAACTGAAAAGTCAGTGCAACACAACGCATGACTGGAATGCTGTGGGATACTGAGGCCAGCTGGTATGACTGGCTGTTCCACAGGTGTGTCAGGGAAGGTTCACTGATCATTACTGGTTGGCCTTTCCAATCTATGCTCCACTCTGGGAGCCTGACCAATATGTCTCTTGAGCTCAGTGCCTCACTTCATCCACAGACGCTTGTTGGGTCCCTCCCAACTCAAGGCACAGACCTGGTCTCTGGGGATGCAGCACTGAGTCAAACAAAGCTCATCCCTTACCTCAGAATGGGGAGATGGGTCATACACAGTCACAGGGGATATGGGCCCCACTATGTAATTACTAATTGTAAAAAATTCAATGAAGGAAAAGATTAGTGTGAGAAAATAATTGGAAGACACGTGATATTTGTGGTAAGAGCTTAGGCAAACAGGAGATTAATTGAAGGAATACAAGAAAATGTTGAGTCAAATGAAGGAAAATGGAAGGAACTCAAGTTAATCTTTAATTTTTTTCTCATTATTTCACTATCTGCTTATCTTACTAATAATCCTTCTATGATTGAACAAATATTAGTATCAAAGAACCAAGATAATTCTCATCAAACTTTGTTTTATTGGCCTTTGAATGTTTCAAGAGCATCTTCCTGCTTTGTACTCCTAACCTCCTCCAAGACATGGGTTGAGATTTCTCTCTCTCTCTCTCTCTTTTTGTTTTTGGATGATCCAAAGTGCTGTGAGCAGGACCAAGGATCTGGTTAACACTCACTCAACACCTGGTTCATGGATGGCTGAGTTTTCTGGGGGAATAAAACGGTTGCAGATGGCACAGCCTGGTCATAGGCCTTGGAGCTGGCAGGACAAAGAAGAAGTCCATGGTGATTGACATTTCTCGCAGTCGCTATCCAGTGGTCAGTGCAGGTGGTGGCATCCTTTGCATGTGTCCCAGCCTGTGCCCAGAGGTCCTCAGCAAGCCTGGGTCTGCACTCTCCGCCCCGGACACGGGGTGCCTCCATTCTTAGGTGGGGGGTTGTCGCACTCTCTCCTCCTTTCCTGAGTGCCTGATGTGCAAGCAGACCAGGAGCTCCAGCATCCCCAGTGACCCTCTGCCTTGACTCCTGCACAGATCATTTCCCAGGGGAGAAGGATGTTAGCATACAAGCAGCAGCTCAGACAGGATGGAGGGAGGACTACCCATTGCCCTAGAGTGGTCTGCAATCCCTCCTCAAGGAAATGCCTTGGTGTAGCCAACCAAGACCTATGCTGTCCACCTTGTGCTTAACTTGAAACTCTGGATGAAGTGTGAAGAGGGGAGAGCCCATCTCTAATGACATTAGAGTCTGTGGTTCCATGGAAGATGGAGAGCAGGATAAGACAGGGAGGCATACCCCTCTGGAAGAAAGACACAGCCACCGGAGGGTGTGAGGAAGCACACAGCCCGGCTAGGGGTTCACACACACTGGAGGACAGGATTGCTGGACTTTTGAATGAAGGTTTGCAAATTGAAGCCTCTCAGACTCTGACAGTGGGGCCAGGGTGGGTGACAGGCTCTCTGCACAGAACATCAGAACACGCACTGACCATGTGCCTCTGGAAACCCAGCTCATAGATCCCCCCAGCCTGGGGCTGCTGCCTCCTCCTGGCTCTGTGCCTTGGGCAAGCTCATCTCTTCTCTCAGCCTGAGTTTTCACCTCTGTAAAATGAGGAAGGTATACTAATCTGGTAGGGTTTTTCCACCATTATTTTTTTTTCATTATTTTTTTCTAAAATGAAATCTTGCATGAGCCCCAACATGGAAGTCAAATCAGAGTAGAATTCTTCTATTTGAAGCTGGGGTGTCTATCAGGCTTGCCCTGGTCCCCTGGGCAGCCCCTAAAACACCCAGCTTCCCCAGATCCCAGTGTGAATGTCATTGGATTACATTATCTTCAAGTTCCTTCCAGCTCTGTAATTATACTCCCTGGTGGGGCAGCCACAGCAGGGTCCCTGTCTCTATTTCTCCCACCTCTGTGACTCAGAGGCAGAGGTTTGCTGGGAAAATCCCTCAGGACCTGCATCAATGCATCTTTATTGTAGCTGACTTCCCAGCCTTAGATTTCTTTCTTTCTTCTTCTTTTTTTGCCAGATAGATCTCTGTCTGGTTGAAATACCAGTGTGATAGCCCCAAGGCCCCCTGATGTATACAACTTGTTTGGTACACCAAGGTCAGTGGAATACCATGAGCTTCCTCCAAGTGACTGAATGTAATTGTGCAGGAGGAATGGGGCTGGGTGGAGGAGGATCCAGCCCTTTGTGCCCCGCCTCCACCCCCACAGCATTGGCATCATGTCCGCCTTCTCCAATGCCCATTGTGTGTACACACGACTCAGCATGGACCAGCTCTGAGCCAAGCACTGGACCATTGAAAAGGCATGTCTAGGTAGTTCTCACTCCCTGGTCTGTGTCTATGTTATGCAGACAGGGATCCAAGTAAGTCAGTGGTTCTGAGGGCCCTTGATGTATTATCATATACTGACCCAGGCAGGGCTCACATTTGTCCCTTTAAGCCAAGTCAGGCTGACAACTGTGAATGGGGATATAACCCTCCCTCCCCACTCCCCAAAATGGTAGTCAATGCAATCATCTCAGAATCTCTGCCCTCATTCCCCAAATTTCCTGACTCTTAGGATGTAAATCAGTAGAATGCAGCAGTTGAGAGCTTGCATCCTAGCATCTGACCACTTGGGTCCAAATTCTCACTCTGAAACTCCTCAGCTAGATGGCATTGAGAAAGTTATCTCATCTCCCTCCTGCCCCAGTTTTCTCATCTGTAAAATGGGGCTAATAATAGTATTTATCTCATAGCATCCTTGGGGGAATAAACAGTTCATGCACATGAAGTATTGTGAGAGGGCCTGCCACATAAGAAGAGTGAATTATTCTTTCTCCTCATTGACTTATGGTCCCTCCAGGAGAGCTGTCTGGCCACTGGGGCAAGTGGGGGCTGCCATCCCACCCACACTCTGCTTGAAAAGTCAAGAAATCCTTGGGCCCAGGAGCTGGGCAATATTGGCCCCAAGTGGTTGGATTTCTTTGTTCCTTTCACTTCCCCACCTGTCAGGCAGTGCCTTTTTCCAATTTACAAGAGGAAACTGTACCAGGTTTGGCCCTGGCAATTGGTCTGCTTGGTTTTTATTCTTTGCATTCTCCTTCATAAAGACTGGAATCCACTTACCATTGTGGCTCACCCCCTCAGGATTTCACCTACACATTAGCAGGTAGTTTGTTGGGCTTCAATCTGTGCATCTTCAGTCATCACAGGAGTAATTTAAACTAGGCACCAACCCAAGACAGATCTCTACCAATGGAGCTCTCTCTTCCTCATACTTATGATATAGCCTGCCACATGTGTTGGCTAGTTTAGTCCTCAACACAACCTGTGATGAGTGTACTGACATTATCCCCATTTTTCAGGGGGTTCCCAGATGAAAATTGGCAGCACTGGGTTGCAAAGGCCTATTGAAACCAGCGCTATGCCATCCTGCCTCCCAATGAAGAAATTATAACCCATCATCATCTCATTTAGAAACCAGGCTCCATCTCATCTACCCTGTGTTTCAACAGTTTGTTTTATGGACTTAAGAGTGGACCTTGGATATACCTATCCAGACTTTTTTTAAAAAACCTTTCTTCATAAAGGGCTGACTTCATAGCCCATGTTTTTGCCATCATTCCATGTACCATACAAGCAGTTTTGTGTGCATGGAAAATTGGAAGCTCAGGGATTGCAGCATGTATAAAGAGTCTTGAAACTCAAAGGAAACTTAAATGAGAAAGATAAACACCCCCCCCCCCAGAAAAAATAAGTGGTTAACCAGTGTTTCACAGTAAGTTAGTGATATAGTTTGGTATTCACATCAGGTCTCCAGACTTCTTCCTTTGTAAAGGACGTAGATTCTTAACCTTTTTTTGAGAACCTTCTTTCCTGGTATAAGTCAGTCCATGCTGCAACTATAAATGTCTAAACCTTACTTGCCCCACCTTGTTTATAGTCATAACTCCTTGCAATATAATGACAACTACTTAACCCTTATAGTGGGTTGAATTGTACCCCCTCAAAAGATATGTTCAAGTTCAAACTCCGATCACCTGTGAACATGACTTTATTTGGAAATAGGGTCTTAGCAGATTTAATCAAGCTGAAATGAGCTATTGCTGAATTAGGGTGGGTCCTGATGTAATGACTAGTGTTCGTATAAGAAGTGCAAACAGAGACAAAGAGTGGAGACACCATATGAAGACAGGCAGAGACTGGAATGCCTCTCCAAGCAAAGAATACCAGGGACTGCCAATAACCACCAGACGCTGGGAGAAATGGATGGAACAGGTTTTCCCTTAGAGCCTCCAGAAACCAACCTAGCCTGAAGACATGAATTTTGTATTTCTAACTTCCAAAAGTACGAGTCAATAAATTTATATTGCTCTAAGCCACCAAGCTTAAGGCAGTTTGTTATGGTAGCACTAGGAAACTAACATATCCCTCCAAAATTGAACTATTGTTCTATTGTTCATATACACATTGGTAAAAATACAGTCCTCATCTGAGAGAGGGTCTTAATGGCAGAGAGGAAGGATGAGAACCATTAAGTGCGGAGTCAGCCATAAAGCTCAGTGTGTGGATTCTCAGAGTAGTGAGCAAGAGGACACAGGACAGAGAGACCGGGAACCCCAAAGCCCTTTCTGTGCTGGCCTCTCTGAGCTGGACCAGGCCTTGAACATGAGTGATGATGCGCAAGTCTTACCCTTTTGCGCCATTTTCTCACAGGCAAGGCCCATGCGACCCAGGGGACACTGACATTTGCAGCTGGTGCCTTCAAGGATGGGCACTCCATTGTTGAAGCAGGGCCCGCAGCGACAGGCATTGAATTCCATCAGGTACTGATCCAAGGCCCGCTGCAGGTTCCGGCGTTTGGCCTCCAGGGGTCCCAGGGTCGTGTGCCGCAGCAGCTCGTAGACAGGCTGCATCTGTGTGCACAGAAAGAATAGAGGACCCTCTTTGGGCTCTGTCCAGTTCCCCAGAGCCCAAGAACTGGCCATTAGCTCCTGGAAGGCTGTTATAGGACAGGCACAGAGACAGATGACCCACTTCATCCCATTGCACCAGATCCTCCCAGCCACTGTGGGAAGCGGGAACTCAATCAGCCCCAGCCTCAAGATGAAGAAGGGGAGGCTCAGGAGTATTTGAGTGACCAGCTCAGGATCACACAATTCAGTACAAGAGTCACTCTGAACATGGATCTATTTAACTCTGAAATATGTGGTCCCTGACCTCAGAGTGAGAGAGAGCTCCTAACCCATTTGTTTCAACTCATCTGCCCTCTCCAGCACTTTTAGGAATTAGGAGGAATATAAAGGTTATGTGTGCGTGTGTGTGTGTGTGTGTGTATGTGTGTTGACTGTCAACCTTCAATGTAGGAATTAACAGAGTCCTTGATAGGTAGTTATTTTATCATTGCTAAGCACGTCCCTTAATGGTGCTAGGGTGGTGACATGTATGGGGAAGGGAGGGTGTCATTTACATTCCAGGTCTGACCGTAGTAGCCCAGAGTTTCTCACACTCAGCACTACTGAATTTCCAGCTGGGTAATTTCTTGTTACAATTCCTGTGCATTACAGGATGTTTAGCAGCATCTCTGGCCTTTACCCACTAGATGCCAGTAGCACCTTCTAGTTTTGAAAACCAAAACTATCTCCTGACGTTGCCAAATGTCCCCCGAGGGACACAATCAGCCCATCCGTGCTGGGAAGTACTGTAGTGGATGCAGCAGAGAGCGTGGGCGCTGGAGGCAGGGAATCTGGTTTCAAACCCCACCTCTACTGCTTCCAGCTGTGTGGTCTCAGTCACACTACACATGGAGCCTCCCTTCCTCGTCTGTGAAGTAAGAAAAGGAGCCCTACCTTCCACGTTTATTGTGAGGATAAAAGTTGATGGATATCACATGGTAAAAGCTAAGTAAATGCTGCTCACCCCCTAGCTTTGTGGCCTAGAACTCTTAACTGCCGCTCTCTAAACCTAAGGCTCATTATCTATGAAATGGAAATAATAACCTATTCCTAGAATTCTTAGGAATATCTGAAGTAATGAATTTGTGATACTATTGCAAAGGGAAGAATAGAATAAACCACAATTTGTATAAGTTGTGATGACAGTAAAAAAAGTATATTTTTCAACTTTCATGTATGCATGGTTACCCTCTGCATGCTTAATAATGCTGTATGTTATAACACGCAATCTGGAGAGGAAAGCTCTTTTCCAGTTGCCCCATTTTACAGGACAGTCACCTGAGGTCCTAAGAGGGAGTCATTTGCCAAAGTCATCAAGAAATTCAAAGAGAGGACTCAGCCACTGAAGCAATCTCACTTCTCTAGAATCAGAGTCAATGAAGGGCAGTAGCCTTGAATGGGTTCCTGGAAATGTGTACAGAAAGAACTATGGCAAACAAACCTTGGCCTATTGTCAGGGGCTTGGGCTGAGGTCATCAGACTGGTCACGTCAGGACTGGCTGGGCCTCCAGCCAAGGGAAAAACACAATTTACTGGACATTCAGAGAATATGGCCCCATTGATAGGAAGTCAATACAGAATGGGCTGCCCTGTGGCCCTGGTTAAGGTGACTCTTAGTTCCAGGAAAAGCCCAGGACCACTGGGCAACCTCCCTTTGACCTTCCGGCAAAGATTAGCACTTCATCTCACATCTCTCGTTGCTCCCTCCTAGAACCCTCAGTTAGAGGAGAGGGAGCACTCCTTAGTGCTGCAGGGGACTTAAAGGGGCAAAGGAGAGTGGAGAAGAAGAGTCTTAGAAAGTCAGCGCTTGAAAAGATATTGGCAATGCCCTTGTCCCCATTTTACAGGTGAGAAAATAGATTTAGAGAAGTCAAATGGTGTAACATGGCAACACAAAATAACCTAACATAACATAACAATATATATCATAACACAGCATCATAATATCACATCATGTCACATAACATGATGGCTATGTTCACTCAGTCTAAGTACCTGCCATAAATAAGTACTACTATGTTCTGGGGATATGCAGGTAAATAATTGTTACCAGTTTGATCTTTAGGTTCCAAATAACCCCTTAACTTGTTCCCTTATCTACGGTCTCTCTCTCCTTTGATTCATCCTTCATGCCTCTGTGAACACAGCTCTAGCTGTGTCATTTCCTTGCTCTGTAACCACCAGCAGCATAATATATTGAGTCCAAACTATTCAGGGTTAATGTGTGTTATAGTTGTGGGTGTTAGAGTCTGTCACACATGGCTCAAGCTGGGCTCTGCCGTTTACCAGACACATCCCTTGGCCAGCTCATTTGTCCTCTCTGGAACTGGTTCCTCAATTTCCTAAGCACTCATTTCTCTCTCCCTAACCTTGTGACATAATATTCTATTATCCCTACATTATAGAGTAGGAAAATGGGGCTCAGAAAATTAAGTAACTTGTCAAAGGTTACACATTAAAAGTTGCCAGCCCATGAACCAAAATATATCTTACTCACCCCTAACCCAGGCTTTCTTTTGCAAAAGATATTATTTGGTCTTCTGCAAAACATGAATGAGTCTTTCCTTTGGAAGTTTTGCTCAAGGCAAATGTAAATTTCACCTCTTGCCCTTGAAAGTTTATGTATCACTCCTGATATCAATTCTACAGTTTTTGCCCAAATCACTAATAGCTTGATGATAGTAATTTTCAGACCCTGTGTGAATTACAGATGTATGAAAATGGTCCCTTACTTAATGGGGAAGAAATAAAATCAGGTTAATTCATCAGGCCTCCTTCTTCATAGAGAGCAGGGTATTATAATTGGCTTTTAGGTTTAACTATTGGTATGTATTTTAAGAAGAGGAATGTATCTATACCTGGAATTTTAATTATATGTATAAAATTGACAAGAATCAGGAGTAAGTTGGCAGGAAAACAATAATATTTAAGAGCCTCACATATAACTCTCTTTTAATGGATTACCCTTGCAAATGACTAGAAGTAGTTTGACAACTGGTAGAACCATTATTTATTTGCAGTATGAATACTATTTTACTCCCTTTGTGAGGTTAGGGATTTAAGTCAGAGTTTCTCAATGTGGGCACTATTGTCAATTGGGGATAGATATTTCTTTGTGGTAGAGACTGTCCTTTGCATTGTGGGATGTTTAGCACCATCCCTGGCCTCTATCTACTAGATGCCAATAGTACCCTCCCAGTTGCAACAACCATAAATGTCTTCAGACGTTACCAATTTTCCCCATGGAAGCAAAATTGCCCCCAGTGGTTGATATCTGTGACTTTAAAGAAGGCACTAGGATAGAGAGAAATGAGAACTGGATATGAAATCCACAGGTCTGAGATCTAGGTGCTACTACATATGAGCTCTGTGATCTTAAACAAATCACTTGTGTACTTGGAGCCTCAGGTTCCTAATCTTCTCAATGGGGATAATCATGTCCTTACCAGGGCTCCACTGTGGAAGAGAGAGGATCATTGAGAGCAGGGACAGCAAACTGCAGTTACAGTCTGGTACCACACTCAACCCATGGCTTGTTTTTGTATGGCCTTTGAGCTCAGAATGGTTTTCATTTTTTCATTTTTTAAGTGTATTTTTTATTTTATATTTTAGAAGGTTGTATAAAATGAAGAAGTAAAACTTGTATAACAGAAACTGTACGTGGCCCACAAGGCTTAAAATATTTACTATCTGCTCCTTTACAAGAAAAAGTTTGCCAACCTCCAATTAAACAGATGTGTTTTTTAAAGTCATGTATGTATAAATACAAATTATTATTTTTAAAATGTCACCCAAACCTGAAGAAATTCTGGGGCTACTAGTGTAAAACTAGGGCACTGGACAGATATTGCACTTCTGAGCCCAGCTCCCCTGCAACCTGGGTCTAAAGTCACATGCTCCCTATGGTCAGGCGTGGGGAGGGCCACCAGTTCAGTGTGCTGTTAACATTTAATCTTGTTCTTTGATGGGCTCATAACAAGAAATATGAAAGGATCTGGTCTGTTTCACTTTCATTCCTCATGGACATAGAGTTTCTTCAACTGCGAAAAGACTTACCTCAAAATCAATAATAGCAGGACTATACTTTAACGACCTCCCCCAGGAACGATACGAAATGGTGCTTGTGTTGTGAGCCAAGCCAAAACCCCAGCCAGAACTGCCACCTTGCACCCGAGAAATGACATCTTTCACAGCCATGTTGTTTAAGTTGGAATCTATTGAGAAGATAACTGCATTAGCTCATTTCCCAAAAAGCCAAAGAATGGGTATGCAAGCATCACTAATGAGATTTGGGACAAAGTTTATGTGCTGTTCTTAGAGCTGTTTTCCATTCTTCTACCCTGCTTGGTTAAGTAACAGGACAAAGGAGAAGAGTAGGACCAATACTTAGAAATAGGCCCATACTCTGGATTAAAGCAAACAACAGGAAGACCACCCAGCCCAACATGGAGGAGGGTGAGGGTAGGAAAATGGATGATCATTCATTCATTCATTTATTCATTCATATGTCAAATGCTTACTCAGTGCCTGTCATATGCCAAACAAGTACAATTAAACAGTGAATGTCTCTATGGGACTCAGTAGGGGTGCACAGAAAGGTATGGTCAGATCTACAGGAGGATGGGGAACTTGTCAGGAAGAAAAGTAGGTTTTCTAGAAAAGCCAATGAATCTTTGCAGGGAAATAGAGAGAGAAGGGAAGGGCTTCAGAGAAAAGAAGCCAGCTGACTTAAGGCCCTGAGGCATGAGTAACCTAATGCGATGGGAGGAACTTGAACCTGTTTCGTACCTACCTCATCCACTACACTGTAAACTGTTTCATCATTCCTGCATTCTTTGTTGTCTACCACCTAAAAAAATACTCAATACATATATGATGAATGAATGAATACATGCACACACGTATAGACTTGCTCAGGAAATACCACAAAATATTCCTGTATAATCTTTCTCTAATATTTATTGTTTGAGCTTGAAGTTGGTAACCAAATTCTCCTCTCTCAGGGACTTATTTTCTCCATTTGGACTGTATCCTGATGGGCCTTTATGTCAACAGTCAATTTTCCAGGTTCTGCCTACACATTTCTTTCAACCTAGGTCTTACTCAGACTTTTATCTAGTGTTTAAAATCTAAGAGCATGCACCATACAAAATCAAGTATTTCTAAGGTTATCTCAACCCATGGTGGATTCAAAAATAGAGCCAACTCAGGTCATTGGCTTGGTGTACTCAGCAGCTATGCAGTTTGACCATTGACTGGAATGGAATCAGTTGGGGGTGCAAGAGTGTGGGGGTACAGGGATGTGGAATAGTTTCCATGTCCTGAGTGCACGTCCAAGGAAAAATCTGGCTTTTCTTTTTAGGAGATTTTTTTCTAAATACTTACAAGAATAAGCATTTCCATCTTTTTCACATTGTTTGACTGATAAACCTCCTTCAATATCTGTGCTTTTTGAAAAGGCGTAAGTAATGCCCACAGACTCTCCAAAGCATTTCTGGATACTGTCAGAGGTAATTTCTGCAGCAGGGAGATAGAAACCAAAAGTGCTGAGATGCTAAAATACAGTTAATATGGTACAATGGTACAACCAGCTTACAGTAGTAAAAGTTAGCTTTGGTTTTGGAGTCTAAGAGATCTGGGTTGAAACCCCAGTTCTTTAGCCCAATTTCAATGTTCTCTTCTGTGTAATTCCAACCCAAATAATTCTTGAAATGAGAAGGAATATGTATTGCACATACTAGTTGCTCAAAAACATTAGTTCCTTTTCTTTTGTACATTCTCTGTTGGGCCTCCTTGGGGCAGTGATTATCATTCATCTTCATATACCCCTGTGCCCAACACAGTGCCTGGCCTGTTTTTACACTGCAATTTTGCACATGTTTTCCCTGCCTCTCTCACTTTCACCATCTTTCCAAAGTTTACTCAAGCTTCAATTCAAATGTCATTTACTCCATGAAGCAGTTCTGGATCAGATCAGAATACTTTCCTCTTTCTTTAGGGCTACCAATGTGCTTTATTTGCACCTGAATGATCATAGTTGTCACAATTCTTTTGCTCATGTTCTCTTTGCACCCTAGAGAGGCCAGGGCACTGTGAGAAGATGGAGGTATCTCCAGGGGAGTCGGCCTGCCTTCCAACTCTAGGAGAACTGGGAGTCCCGCATTAAAAGTCTCTGTATTTGTCCATAGCTCTGTATTTGTCCATAGCTCTGTTTTTGTCGCACTGAGGAACCTGAATTTTGCAGATGAGGAACATAATTCTCAAAGCAGTAGAGTTACTTTGCTTTTATTCCACAGCCTGTATATGAACAGAGCTAGGTTTCCATCCTTTGGTCAGCCTGGCGAGAGAGGGCTAGAAAAACAGACTGGAGCAAGACATTGACCATTGCTGCAGAGTTCAACTCTTTCTGCCGCTAAAGTCTTCTGAAGATTGTGAATTGCAGTTTGTATTTTTGAAATATCATTACTTTTAATTAATTGCAACTATATAATAATTATTACCAGTTATTATATTATTCTGGCAACCACAAAGGAAAAATCATTTAGGGCTATAATTCAATTGAGGGTTATATTGAATATTTTCAAGGGAGTGTTCAGCAACAAATTTTATCTGCCTGCATCCCAATTAAACTGCAGACTCCATGAGTTCAAGGACTTTCATTTTATTCACCACACTACTGTCAGCATAGCAGTGCAATGTTTGCCATAGAGGAGTTCGGTAACTACTTTCAGAATAATGATTGGCGTATGAAACCAAGGAGAGAGTAAATGGATGCCATGCATCCTTTGGTAAGGGCTTCTGATAGAAAGAATCTTAGAAGTCAGAAATCCTGAATTCAAATCTCAGTCACTCAGATGAAAGGATAAAAAATTGTGCATAATAGACATATAATTGAATATCATTCAGCCTTAAAAAATTAAGAGATCCTGCCATTTACAACTACATGGATGAAACTGGTGGACATTATGCTAAGTGAGATAAGCAAGACAGAAAAAGACTGCATGATCTCACTTATATGTGGAATCTTAGAAAGTCATATACATGAAAGCAGAGAGTAGAACAGTGGTCACCAGGAACCAGGAGGTGGAGAAGGGGTGTTGCTGGTCAAAGGGAGCAACGTTGCAGTTCTGTGGACTGCAAATGTATAGAGAGCTAATTAATGGACAGCCTGAGAACTACAGTTAATAATATCGCACTGAATACTGGAGATTTGCAAAGAAAGTAGTCTTCAGGTGGTTTCTCATACACAAAAAATGATAACTACCTTTAGAAAATAGGTAAGTTAGCTTGAATGTAGTAATCATTTCACTTTGTATCAGTATATCAAATCCTGATGTTGTATATATACCTTAAATATATACAAATTGTAGCTTTTTAAAAAAGTAACACAGAACAAAACAAAATCCCCATCACTCACACCCTGTATGAGCTTAAAAAGGGCCCATGGTCTCACCGGGCCTCAGCTTCCCATTTGTGGAGAGAGGCCGTTGGGCTAGTTTATCTCCAAGGTCCCTGTGGCCGCAGCTCTGTGACTCTGCATATCAATCTCTTAACAGCCCGGAGCTGAAAGTGCCTGGGAGGAGTGGTGTTCTAAGCACCAGCCCTCAGAACCAGATGAAGGGCTTCTTCTACCATTTCTGTTCAAGCACTTTTAATTTTTAATGTATTACTAATTGGGGAAAATTTAGCATATTTAATTGTTTTGATTAAAGAATGCTTCAACGGGAGTAAACAAAAGTGGGTGAAAGGAATTCACGGGCAGAAGCCAGATTAAACACTTAGGTGAGTGGCGGAGTGCTGCTAAATTAAAGTGACAGGACTGGCTGAGGAAAGGGGGCTGGAGGATGCCTGCAGAGTGATTATGCTTATGGAGGGGGTGCTGACAGCCCTCCACATGCTGCTGGGAGAAGAGAATTCCAGCAGCTTGATTTGAAGGAAGCCCAACTTGACTGCAAAGGAGTACCTTCTGGGGACCTCGAAGTAGGGTACCAGTCAGAAAGGGCAGGTCTGTGACTTAATCATACAGTGTGAAAGCTAAATGCGTCCTTAGACATCTAGCCCACACTTCCCATTTTTAATTGTGATGCCCTATGTTCGTACGGATGCCCTATGTTAACTATCTTGTGTAAGTCCATACAGCTAAAAAATTGGGGGCTGAGATTTAAACTCAAGTCTGTCTTGCTTGAAAGCCTGAGGTATTTTCACTAATTCCAGTTATTTCACCAGACTAAAGAATTCTGCTGTCAGAAAAATTTAATAAGTACCTACTATGTACCAACACCAGCACATTGTATGTTGGATAATGTAGATACAGTGAGAATGAAATTAACATGAATATGATACAAATCTGAGTAAGATCCTAACCTAGAGAAGCCAGCGGGTGTGAACAATATATTAAATGAGTACTGATTTATATCTGAGAGCTGCTGTTTCAGTGTACCAGGACTAGCAGTCTTTCCGGGAGCTATGGGGGAGGCCAAGTCAGAGTTGTGTACAGAGCCCCCATGGAAAGCCACGACCAGTGTGAGCTGGGGTGGGGCAGAAGAGTGCAAATGTGGTTTCAAAATCTGAAACACAGAGCCAGAGAGAGGGAAGCTAAGAGTGGAGGAGGCAGAGGGGGGAAGGAGCAGAGAAAGGTCTGGAGCAATTGTGTAGTACTTGCCTGGATGGGTGTGTGGCAGGATGGACTGATTACATTTATAGACCCAGGCAATGCTCTGTCCTGGCTCTGCCCCTGTCTTATTGGACTGGACACCTTAGACGCCAGCTTTGGATCAGATCACACTGGCGTTTGTTTAGGCTTTTGAGTGCAGTGAACTCTGCAGGTGATGATTCCCACGCCTAGCTGCACATTGGGATTATCTGAGTTCTTATTAAAAATACAGGTTCCTGGGTCCCACTTCTATCAATGCTAATTCTATATTTCTGAGTAATCATCAATCTGTATTTTTTTGAAGTGATTTATCACAGGTGATTCCTGTGCAGTGCACCTGACTTTGAGTACCGTGGTCCTACAGAGAACCTCTGGTAGCCTGCTTCAGAGTGCGGGCCCCTTCGCTGTCTTGGGCGAAGCCTTCGTCAATGCCTTGAATGTGGACTTAGCAGCCAAGCTTAGCAGAAGACGAAACTACGAAAAGCCACAGGTAATTCAGATGAAAATTAGGATCCAAAAAGCCCTCGGAAGGCTAGATAGACAGACAGAGTAAGCATAGCAAAATGAGATTCAGTTGGGAAAGCTGTAACATCCTGCCCTGGGGAAAAAATACTAGTGCCTGAGCTCAGTAAGGAATAGGCACTGCTTAGCAGGAGAACAAGAGAAAAGGCCCTAAATTTAAGTAACTTCCAGCTCCGTAGGATAATTCAGGTGAAAATGATACTCAATAAAGTAAAGAAGGGGATAATCTCACTCTCTACACAGGTTAGAGAAACTCAGAGCCTGGTGAAAAGGTCTAGAAGCCACACTTTTAAAAGTAAATAAGAAAAGGGGCATTCATTGGACATTATTCAGCTTTAAAAAAGAAGGATAGGCTGCCACATGCCACAGCATGGCTGAACCTTGAGAGCACTATGCTAAGTGAAATAAGTCGGTCATCAAAGGGCAAATACTGCATGATTCCACTTAAATGAGGTATGTAAAATAGTCAAACTCATAGAATCAGACAGTGGAATGGTGGTTGCCAGGGGTTAGGGAATAGGTAGGAGGAGGGGTTCCTAATTGACAGGACTAAAGCTTAAATTATGCAAGATTAGTAAGGTTAAATAACAATAATGTAGTGTACACTTAAAATTCTGTTAATAAATAAAAGTAGAGAGTGATTGGAGAATGATAAGTATAAATATGGTGAAGATGTGAAGAAATTTAAAGCCATCTCCTTTTGGGAATATTTGAGGGGATGCAGATATCTACCTGAACAAGGGAGAAAAGATCTCTCTTTAAGAGAGATCAATAGACCTGGATTCAACTCTGCAGAGAGTTGTCTTGAAGAAGAGGAATTAGGCTTCCTTGTGTGGTCACAAGGGAAAGAACAAGGACCAAAAGGGCAGAAGCTACAGGAAGATGGGTTTAGGCTCAACATAAGGTAAATTGTCATGATGGTCAGAGGCCAAGGAGATAGGAGTTGTTTCATGAGACAGTGAGCAACCTGTGCCTGGAGGGTATCAAGCAGAGATGGGCTGTTTGCCTTTGAGAGGCTCAGTAGAAGGGTTTGAAGAGTTGACCAGTAGTCTTTTGAGGTCTCCTCTGAAGTCAAGTTTCTGTAATTTTAAGAATACACCAGAACACCTGAAGAACATTTGAGACAACTTTGATGAGTACTGAATGACTTCTTTCTGTGTGCCAGGCGTCTGGGAAGTAGAGGACTAAAGGGAATGCTCATTCTGAGTGAGCTTACTGCCAAATGTGGAACAGAAGACAAGTAAACAGACAATTACTGTGCTGTGCAGTGAGGATTTCGGAAGAAGGCAGCAGGGTCAGGAAAGCCTTCCTTGAGGATCAGAGAAAGGATACCAGGGTCAGT